TCGTAACTTCTCGCTTGCCTTCTCATAGATATCTACCGCCCCCGTGTGGATCAATAATGTACGCACACCACTGTTCTCAGATAACACTCTAGGCAGAAGAGTCCTTATCTCAGCAACTTTTGCAGAGTGAACTGAGACATTCAGACTGATTTAAATCATTTGCAGTTGATCGAAGTGCACTGTGCACTCAAACTTGATAGGGAAACCTTTTTCTTAAATATTGACGTGTCCACAAACAAATGTGGACAGAATTGTATCGTCCTTTTGCAATATTTTGACGAGGACAGAGCCAAAGTGTTGACGCTCCATATCGCCTCAAGTAAAGCTACTCTCACTAATATTCTGTAAAAGAGTTTACTCGTTGCTTGATCCACTTATATTTCATATCAAAATACACTGTATATCTTTGAAGAATTCATTTGAGCTGTATTCAATATACAATCTATTATACAATAATATATTGTAATTACAAATATAACTTGGTCCTGCATATTACTGTGATTTACAGTAATATAAATCACATATTACTGATTCAGTAATCTGAATCTGAATCTGACATGTGATAAATTTCCATGCAAACATTTTCAGTCAAATCTTTTTTTTTTGCTTTAACCCCTGGACCAGAGAGGAGAGATGGGAACTCGCGAGTCGGACTCGGACTCGAGTAGATACAAACACAAACAGATACAAAGATGGCGCCTCGTACGGTCGACATGGCTCTTTGCTGCTCTCTTTTTCTTTTGTTTTTACTTTTTAACTGTGCATCTGGCTGTTCCTACACCCGTGAGGAACTTATGAACATCCGACCCACCGTTCCCATGGACCTATTGCCTGTTTTCTTGGCATCTGCGGCTGATTTAGTTCATGTTCTAGCCAAAAAAGTGTGGGCCCGTAAAAGGGGAAAGCGCGGAGGCCTGCTCGTGCGTCTGAGGAGGAGAGGAGCACGGCTCTCCCCGGCATTTTTCTCTCCAACGTACGCTCACTGGGCAATAAGATGGACTAACTCAGCCTGCTCATGAGAAGAAACAAGGACTTCGCCACATCCTGTGTCCTCTGCTTCACTGAGACCTGGCTAAATGAGCGGATCCCGGACTGTGCTCTGGAGCTGCAGGGCTTTGGGCTGTTCCGCGCGGATCGCCATTGTGCGCTCTCAGGGAAGAGCAGAGGCGGTGGGCTGTGTTTCTACGTCAATACAAACTGGTGTAACGATGTGACAGTGATCTCCAAGCACTGCTCTCCTGCTCTGGAATATCTTTTCATCCATTGTAAACCATTTTACTCCCCGCGCGAAATTGTTTCATTCATTCTTGCCTTTGTTTACATACCGCCATGCGCGGACGCAGAGCAAGTACTGTGTATGGAACGCTTATACCCGGACTCTCTGATTATTATCCTGGGGGATTTTAATAAGGGAAACTTGAGCCAGGAATGACCCAAATACAGACAGTTTATCAAATGCCCGACCAGAGAGAACACTCTGGATCACTGCTACACCACCGTGCGCGGAGCTTTTCGTGCTGTTCCCAAGGCAGCCCTCGGCTTCTCAGATCACTCCATGATACATCTGGTTCCTGCTTACAGACAGAGACTAAGGCTGAGTTTACACGGAGACAATGTGGCAGTAAAACGGTATAGTTGGATGTCGGTTGCTACCAACCGTTCATACGAAGACTGTGTTCCAGGGGGGTGAAAACGTAAGTGTTCAGATCCAGCCTGCAGAGTGGGACAACTCAGAAACACTGCACAGCGGGGCCTCTCTTTCACACCCGCGAGAGGGAAAAGGTGTGAAATCCCCCTCTGCTCTGACCCCCACCTCCTTGCTGCTCCCCGCACGTAAATTTGGACATGCGCAGTAGCGGAGAACAAACGAAAACAAAAATGGCGCCGCGCGCACTAACTAGCTTCGTGGGCTTCCAGCGCGGCACAGAGGATAATTCTATACCTTCGTTCGTCCAAACGAGACCACGCGAAGCTCTAGGTTCAGTTTCCATGTTCACAGCTGCTGTTAAAATGCAGAATGATGTTGGTACGTTCTGAGGGTCTGGCACAGGAAGTGAATATACTGCCGAGAGGGGGGCTGGGGGTCGTGTGTCGTGTTGTAAAGTTTCTCTGCCCACTACTGGCCGGGCGCTAGAACTACATTGTTTTTCAACCTCATGTGAACACTGAGAAATTTGCATTAGGAGCCAGGTCGTTTCTGTTAATAGCCTGGAAACGTCTGCGCAGCGTCTCAGTATAAACAGGGCCTAAAGCTCTCGAAACCTGCAGTGAGGAGCTCCAAAGTGTGGTCTGATGAAGCTGTGGAAGAGCTGCGCACATGCATGGAATCTACAGACTGGGACCTTTTCAGAGCTGCCACAGATAGTTTGGATGAATACACGGACACTGTGACGTCATACATCCACTTCTGCGAGGATAGCATCATTCCAACAAGGACCAGGGTCATCTATAACAATGACAAACCCTGGTTCACTGCTAAATTCCGGCAGCTCAGGAAAGCAAAGGAGTCTGCTTTCAGGGAGGGGGACCGCAGCGGCTACAAAGCAGCTAAATATCAGTTCAGGAAAGAACTGAAAGCAGCCAAGTCCCGGCACAGAGAACGACTACAGGAGCAGTTTGGTAACAACGATACTGCTTCTGTCTGGAGGGGCCTACGGGAGATCACCAACTACAAACCCAAAGCCCCCCCCTGTGCTGACGACCACAAGCTAGCTGACGAACTGAACTTATTTTTCAGTCGCTTTGATGCTGCCCCTGACACCTCTCCCTCCCCCACCCCCCACTACTCTAACGACCCACCCATCAGCCCTGCCCCCAGCCTAACAATAGCCGCTAAAGAGATTAAACAACTCTTCTTGAGGCTGCACCCCCGCAAAGCTCCTGGCCCGGACCACGTGTCTCCGGCCACTCTGAGATACTGTGCCAGTGAGCTTACTCCTGTGTTCACTGACATTTTCAACACCTCTCTGCAGTCCTGCCATGTCCCGGCCTGCTTCAAATCCTCCATCATTGTCCCCGTCCCGAAGAAGCCCAGGATCACAGGACTCAATGACTACAGACCTGTAGCACTTACGTCTGTCGTCATGAAGTCATTTGAACGCCTGGTTCTCTCCCATCTCAAGTCCCTCACCTCCCCCCTCCTGGACCCCCTGCAGTTCACCTCCCCCCTCCTGGACCCCCTGCAGTTCGCCTACAGAGCCAACAGATCTGTAGACGACGCCATTAACCTGGCCCTCCACCACATCCTACAGCCCCTGGACTCCCCGGGGACCTACGCCAGGGTCCTGTTCGTGGACTTCAGCTCTGCCTTCAACACAATCCTGCCATCCCTGCTCCAGGACAAGCTCTCCCAGCTCAACGTGCCCGATTCCACCTGCAGGTGGATCACTGACTTCCTGACGGACAGGAAGCAGCGAGTGCGTCTGGGGAAGAATGTCTCGGACTCTCGGATTATAAATACAGGAGCCCCACAGGGCTGTGTTCTTTCTCCCCTGCTCTTCTCCCTGAACACCAACCACTGCACCTCCAGCCCACGACTCCGTGAAGCTGATCAAGTTCGCGGACGACACCACCCTCATTGGACTCATCTCCAACAACGATGAGTCCGCCTACAGGAGGGAGGTGGACCGGCTGGTGTCCTGGTGCAGTGGTAACAACCTGGAGCTGAACGCCCAGAAGACAGTGGAGATGATTGTGGACTTCAGGAAGAGCATTGTCCCCCCACCCCCCACCCTCCGTGATGGACTCCCCCATCACCTCTGTGGAGTCCTTCCATTTCCTGGGCACCACCATCACCCAGGACCTCAAGTGGGAGCCGACCATCAGCTCCTCATCAAGAAGGCCCAGCAGAGGATGTACTTCCTGCGGCAGCTCAGGAAAGCCAAGCTGCCTGCACAGATGTTGGTGCAGTTCTACACGGCCATCATCGAGTCCATCCTCACCTCCTCCATCACCGTGTGGTTCGCTGGAGCCACAGTCAGGGACAAACAGAGACTACAGCGCATTGTGCGCTCTGCAGAGGAAGTGATCGGCCGCAGCCTTCCATCGCTGCAGGACCTGTACGTCGCCCGAGCTCGAGGCCGGGCTGGTCGTATCACATCCGACCCCTCTCACCCTGCACATGGACTATTCCAACCACTCCCCTCTCACCTGCACATGGACTATTCCAACCACTCCCCTCTCACCCTGCACATGGACTATTCCAACCTCTCCCCTCTCACCTGCACATGGACTATTCCAACCACTCCCCTCTCACCTGCACATGGACTATTCCAACCACTCCCCTCTCACCCTGCACATGGACTATTCCAACCACTCCCCTCAGGCAGGAGGCTGCGGTCCATCAGGACTAGAACCTCCCGCCACAAGAACAGTTTCTTCCCCTCTGCTGTTGGACTCTTGAACACTTCTTAACCTGTCCCCCCGCCCTTTATAAAGTCACTTTACTGCCCATCATACGTCACTTTACTTCACTGTACTGCTGTCACCTTACATTGTGTGCACCATGTGCACTTGTATATTGTAAATAGTAACTGTAACTCTATTTTAAATTTAAATGTATTCTTTAGAAGTGTTTTTTATTCTTATTTTTATTATCTCTTTTTGACTTTTGCACTGAGCCAAAGCAATTTCCTAGTCTGTGACCTCCTGTTACTTACGTGGCAATAAAAATGATTCTGATTCTGAGTATGGTCTTGACTCGGTCTCGTTGTTTTCCGGACTTGCGAGTCCTGACGCTCCAGATCCAACCATTTCACCGGCTGGTAAGGGAGCGCTCTCTTTGGCTGTGCGCTCTCTTTGGTTGTGCGCTCTCTTTGGCTGTGCGCTCTCTTTGGCTGTGCGCTCTCTTTGGCTGTGCGCTCTCTTTGGTTGTGCGCTCTCTTTGGCTGTGCGCTCTCTTTGGCTGTGCGCTCTCTTTGGCTGTGCGCTCTCTTTGGCTGTGCGCTCTCTTTGGCTGTGCGCGCTCTTTGGCTGCGATCGCGGGTCTTGACTGTGCGGGAATGCACGCGTTGGCTCATCACTTTGTGCATCAGTTGTCTCTGAGCTGTGGCCGCTCTATCAACAGCAGCGCACAGCAGGTCATAATGTTCCCAGGACCATACACACGCACAGGACCATACACACGCACAGGACCATACACACGCACAGGACCCTACACACGCACAGGACCTACACACGACTGCTCTCTTGAGAAGCATTCACAGCATATTATTATTATTATTATGCCTACTGGTTCTTCCTCAGGTTGTGACCCAGTTTAAAGTCAGTCTGGTGGGTCTGACTGAGATCCTCATGTCCAAAGAGCCCTGGTACGTCCGCTGCATCAAACCCAACGAATCCAAACAACCAGGTAAGTGAGACCCTGCCTTAAATCTCAAGCTCCTGACTTCTGTGTGTCTTCTACATACTGACAGCTGATTGGATAATGTGACGGAGGCCAGACTGTAGCACACTGTCTCTCCCAAACTTATCGAGGTGATGAACTAGAGGAGTTTACTTTTACATGAAGTCAATTGGAGCCAGAAAGAGGAGCCAAACTTCACCATATTTGGCTTCACAATCTATGTTAGCATTGTCCATCTGTATACAGTCTGTGTTAGCATTGTCCATCTGTATACAGTCTGTGTTAGCATTGTCCATCTGTATACAGTCTGTGTTAGCATTGTCCATCTGTATACAGTCTGTGTTAGCATTGTCCATCTGTATACAGTCTGTGTTAGCATTGTCCATCTGTATACAGTCTGTGTTAGCATTGTCCATCTGTATACAGTCTATGCTCCAGATGTGCCTCTCTATGTGGAGTTTGCATGTTCTCCACACAACTATTTTGTGAGAGGCGCTAAATGGATAAATAAACTCACATGTCTGTTTGTAAGTGTGCTCCTCCAGCTCTAACCCTGGTCTGCCCCCTACAGGCCGCTTTGATGACGTGCTGGTGCGACATCAGGTCAAATACCTGGGTCTGATGGAACATCTGAGGGTGAGGAGGGCGGGGTTCGCCTATCGACGCAAATTCGAGATCTTCCTTCAGAGGTAAAGTGTGTGACTGTGTGTTTGTGTGTGTGTGTGTTTGTGTGAGTGTTTGTTTGTGTGTGTGTTTGTGTGACAGTGTGTGTGTGTCTATTTATTTGTGTGTGTGCCAGTGTGTGTGTGTTTGTGTGACAATGTGTGTTTATGTGACAGTGTGTGTGTGTGTGTCTGTGTGTGTGTCTGTGTGTGTGACAGTGTGTGTTTGTGTGTCTGTGTGTGTGACAGTGTGTGCGTGTGTCTGTGTGTGACAGCCACTATCTTGCAGCCGGTCTAATTCCATTGAAATTTGTAAACTGAATTTTTAGAGACTGAAATGAAAAGATATTTAAACTTGTTTTTCACGGTTAATAAATTTAAGCTAATTTCAAAAACTGCTGACACAAAATAATCTTCCGTGTTTGTGTTGCAGATACAAGGCGCTGTGTCCTGAGACGTGGCCGAACTGGAGGGGGTCAGCGGGGGAGGGGGTGCGGCGCCTCGTCAGACACCTGGGATACACTCCTGACGACTACAAGATGGGCAGGTGATGTCACACACACCAGGTGGACAGGTGATGTCACACACACCAGGTGGGCAGGTGATGTCACACACACCAGGTGGACAGGTGTGTGTGACATCACACACCTGTCCACATCACACACCTGTGACATCACCTGCCCACACACCAGGTGGGCAGGTGATGTCACACACACCAGGTGGGCAGGTGATGTCACACACACCAGGTGGACAGGTGATGTCACACACACCAGGTGGGCAGGTGATGTCACACACACCAGGTGGGCAGGTGATGTCACACACACCAGGTGGACAGGTGATGCCACACACACCAGGTGGACAGGTGATGTCACACACACCAGGTGGACAGGTGTGACATACACACACCAGGTGGGCAACCAAGTAGAGACGGACCAAAGAGAGACTAGGAAGAAAGATCAGAGAGACCAGAGACCAGAGAGAGAGACCAGAGAGAGAGACCAGAGAGAAAGACCAGAGAGAGAGACCAGAAACCAGAGAGAGGGACCAGAAACCAGAGAGAGACCAGAGAGAGAGACCAGAGAGAGAGACTAGAGAGAGAGACCAGAAACTAGAGAGAGAGACCAGAGAGAAAGACCAGTGAGAGAGAGACCAGAGAGAAAGACCAGAAACCAGAGAGAGGGACCAGAAACCAGAGAGAGAGACCAGAAACCAGAGAGAGGGACCAGAAACCAGAGAGAGAAAGGGGGGAAGGAGATGTTTCTGAATCGACTTAAGAGGATTTAAACTTTTCTGTTTCTGTTTTTAAAATGTTTTAAAGAACAAAGATCTTCATTCGCCATCCACGCACTCTGTTCGCCACCGAGGACGCATTTCAGCTCTGCAAACACAAACTGGGTAAGAGAGAGACAGGAGAGAGACCAGAGAGAGACCAGAGAGAGACCGGAGAGAGAGACCAGAGAGAGACCAGAGAGAGAGAGCAGAGAGAGACCAGAGAGAGACCAGAGAGAGACCAGAGAGAGACCAGAGAGAGACCAGAGAGAGACCAGAGAGAGACCAGAGAGAGACCAGAGAGAGACCAGAGAGAGAGACCAGAGAGAGACCAGAGAGAGAGCAGAGAGAGAGCAGAGAGAGACCAGTGAGAGACGAGAGAGAGACCGGAGAGAGACCCGAGAGAGACCAGAGGGAGACCGGTGAGAGACCAGAGAGAGAGACCAGAGAGAGACCAGAGAGAGACCAGAAAGAGACCAGAGAGAGGCAAAGAGAGACCAGAGAGAGACCTGAGAAAGACCAGAGAGACACGAGAGAGACCGGATAGAGACTAGAGAGAGACCAGAGAGAGACCAGAAAGAGAGACCAGAGAGAGACCAGAGAGAGACCAGAGAGAGACCAGAGAGCGACCAAAGAGAGCGACCAAAGAGAGAGACCAGAGAGAGAGACCAGAGAGAGAGACCAGAGAGAGAGACCAGAGAGAGAGACCAGAGAGAGAGACCAGAGAGAGAGACCAGAGAGGGATCATAGAGAGATAGAGACCAGCAAGATCACACCAATAGAATCCATGTTTCTCGTTCCAGGTTATAAAACAGTTTCATGTTTTTTTCTGGCTTCTGTCACATTTGATTTTTCTGACAGAATATTGTAAAAGAGAGGACCACCCTCACTCAGTCAATCAGCTCTCAGAAAAATATAACAATGTTTTTACTAAAATACAGACCCATGTGTGTTGCTACCGTAAGTTAGGGACCTCAGCTTTAATATGTTTTACATTGTTTAATAAATATGTTTGTTTTACAGCCACAAGGATCCAGGCCAAGTACAAAGGCTACAGAGTGAAAGGAAACTATATCAAACAGAGAGAGGCTGGTATGTACTCTACTCTACTCTACTCTGCTCTACTCTGCTCTACTCTACTCTACTCTACTCTACTCTACTCTACTCTACTCTACTGTACTCTACTCTACTCTACTCTACTCTACTCTACTCTACTCTACTCTACTCTACTCTACTCTACTCTACTCTACTCTACTCTACTCTACTCTACTCTACTCTACTCTACTCTACTCTACTCTACTCTGCTCTGCTCTGCTCTGCTCTGCTCTGCTCTGCTCTGCTCTGCTCTACTGTACTCTACTCTGCTCTGCTCTACTCTACTCTACTCACTCTATCTAGCAACCTACCCACTACAACCTAGGCTGGTCTTTCCACACCATGGTACTCATTTCATTTGTACTAAGGTCTGGATTTGCTCCATTGACTCCGTTTACAGGTGGGAGGGGCTAACTCCTTTTGAAGATTGAAACGATTGGATCTGAGTTTACTGTGACGTATGTAATGTGCCCGAGTGAGTCGTTAGCATTTAGCATTTAGCCATTTTTTTTCCCAGCGATTACATTTGATAAACATTCCTCTTACTCCGGCTTCAATTTCTTGATAGAACCAGACCGGATTACTTTACTATCACATTTTTCGCCATTACCAAACTACAACCTTCCCGTTTGACGCAAACTCTTGACGTCACCCACATCTAACTACAACTCTCTCTTCCGCGCTCTCTGATTTGTCGGTCAAAATTCAACCGATTGTATTCGCTAACACAGGGACTAGACCCAGACATTACATGCAGGAAAATATGATTGAGCGGAGTGTACGAATGGATAAGGCCAGGCTAGGTAAGACCAGGTTAGCAACAAACTAGTATCCGGGGCTTCTCTGGTCTCCCTTTGGTCTCTCTCTGGTCTCTCTCTTGTCTCTCTTTGGTCTCTCTCGCTGCTCTCTGGTCTTTCTCTGAGACTAAATGCAGATGGAAACCTTAACCTTGTTCAGGTGCTAGATTTTCATTGTTTTCGTTCAACTTTATAGCAACAAAAATTGAAACCTGCTGGAGAGGACTAATGGCAAGAAAAGAGAAGGACAAACGACAATGGGCTGTGAAGGTCATCAAGAAGTGAGTAGAAGACCCAAGAGAGAGACCAGAGAGATCAGAGAGAGACCGGAGAGAGACCAGAGAGAGACCAGAGAGAGACCGGAGAGAGACCGGAGAGAGAGCGGAGAGAGACCAGAGAGAGACAAGAGAGACCAGAGAGAGACCAGGTGATGTGGTTCTTTGTTCAGGTTCATCAAAGGCTTCATGACGAGACACGATGCTGCCGGAGCAGACAACAGCGAGTATCTGACCTACGTGAGGCAGAGCTATTTGACCAGACTCAAGGACAGCCTCCCTCTCTCCCTGATGGAGAGGGAGGCCTGGCTCACCCCTCCTCCCATCATGCAGGAGGTGAGAGAGAGAGAGAGTGAAAGAGAGAGAGAGTTTGTGAGAGAGAGAGAAAGAGAGAGGAAGTGAGAGAGAAGAGAGAGTGAGTGAAAGAGAGAGTGTGAGAGAGAGAGAGAAAGAGAGAGAGAGAGTGTGAAAGAGAGAGAGAGAGTGTGTGTGTGTGTGTGTGTATGAAAGAGAGAGGAAGTGTGTGTGTTTTCACATCAACAGTCAATTGCAGCAGTTAATGTATAAGTCAGGAGCCAAACTTCAGCATGAGCACTTCCCTATTGGGTTAGCATTGTCCATCTACAATGGTTTGTGTGTGTGTGTGTGTGTGTTTGTTCTACAGGCTTCCCAGCTCCTGAAGCGGCTCTACACTCGCCACATGGTGCGTCTGTACGTGAGAGGCATCACTCCACAAAGGAAAGCACAGGTACAGGCTCCACACACACCAGGACTGTAGAGTACCATGTGGCTCCTTCATGGTGTGTGTCTCTCAGATGCTGCTGAAGCTTCAGTCCAGCAACATCTTCAAAGGAAAGAAGGAGAACTACCCTTTCAGCGTCTGCGTGCCCTTTTGCAACACACGCATCGGTACAACACTCAATACTGAGGCTGTAGACCCAGGACTGAGGGCTGTAGACCCAGGACTGAGGCTGTAGACCCAGGACTGAGGCTGTAGATCCCCAGGACTGAGGCTGTGGACCCAGGACTGAGGCTGTAGATCCCCAGGACTGAGGCTGTAGATCTCCAGGACTGCGGCTGTAGATTCCCAGGACTGAGGCTGTAGACCCAGGTCTGAGGCTGTAGACCCAGGATTGAGGCGGTGGATCCAGGACTGAGGCTGTGGACCCAGGACTGAGGCTGTAGACCCAGGACTGAGGCTGTGGACCCAGGACTGAGGCGGTGGACCCAGGACTGAGGCGGTGGACCCAGGACTCAGGCTGGTTTGGGTGAATACAGTTCTCATGTTCTGTTTTTACATTTCCTCAAAGCTGAAGAAGACATCAGCCTCAAAGTCCTGCAGATGATTCGACCGGAGCGTGTTCAGGTATCCACCAAAACTACAGTCTCCATTAGAGTATTTAAAGCTTTGGTCCTGAAGGAGCAGCGTCTGCAGTCAGAGCACCCCCCCATCACCTCTGGTCCTACTCTTTGGGTAATAACCATAATCGTGGATAGAACCTGCAGACGGGAGATGCTTTAGAGATAGAGGAGCTCAGTCACACAGGAGGAGCTCGGAGTAGAGTCGCTGCTCCTCCCTCAGCATGTCCCACCAGAGGCAGGGTGTTGGAGGAGGAAATGTGGCCAGTTTTTATTCACAGCGTTCTTTCTGTTGGGACAAATGTCTCAATGAAACTGTGTGTACTTTTTGCAGTACAGTGTCTCTGTGATGAAGTACTGTGTGTACTTTTCGCAGTACAGTGTACCTGTGGTGAAGTACTGTGTGTACTTTTCGCAGTACAGTGTCTCTGTGATGAAGTACTGTGTGTACTTTTTGCAGTACAGTGTTCCCATGGTGAAGTACTGTGTGTACTTTTCGCAGTACAGTGTACCCGTGGTGAAGTACGACAGAAACGGGTTCCGGCCTCGGCTTCGGCAGCTGCTGTTCACTCTGGAGGCGGCGTATCTGTTGGAGGAGGCCAAGGTCAAACAGAGAATAGACTTCACCTCCCTCAAAGGTCTGAGTCCATATGGTTCTCACTGCAGAGAGAAAGACCAGAGAGAGAGACCAGAGAGAGAGAACAAAGAGAGAGACCAGAGAGAGAGACTGGAAAGAGAGACCAGAAAGAGACTAGAGAGAGAGAGCAGAGAGAGCGATACTAGAGAGAAGAGAGACCAGAGAGAGAGAAGGAGAGGCATGAGAGAGCAGAGAGAGACTAGAAAGAGACCAGATAGAGATCAGAGAGACACGGAAAAAAGCAGAGATACCAGAACGAGAGACCAGAGAAAAAGGAACCAGAAACAGAGACTATAGAGAGACCTGAGAGAGACCAAACACATGTTATAAGTGGTTCTATGATGCTGGAGCACACACACGACACACGATCAACACAAAAACACCAAACCATCCACAAAACCAGTAAGACCTAAAGTGAAGGACCAGTGTACTCTCTCCTCACACCATTACTTCATCTGTTTCACTGTTGACATTTTATTATGGAAGATTTTTTGTGTCATCAGATATTGAATTTTTTTTTGCTTGAATTTTTCCATTTGAAATGTTTAACCCTGAAAAAGAATGTTTGAATATTTTCATCTTTGCATTTCAATCAATAAAAATTCAGTTTACAAATGTCAATGTGAGTAAAATTTCCAAATAACATTTTCACCTTCAAAATATTCCCAAAAATTTTTTTTCAATGAAAAAAAAAAAAAGACGGATTATTTGTTCCATCAGAAATTGAATTTTAAATGGACCTGAATTCATCTATTTTTATGTTTTTAACATCTTGAATATTTTTTTCTGTGAATTTCAGTAATTGATTATCAATTTCATAATGTTAAATTCAACAGTCAAAATTCAACAGTCAAAATTCAACGAGAAAAAATTCAATGGTGAAAAATGCACATGACACATCCAGTGTTCTGACGAGTTGTGTGCTGTCAGTTGGTCTGCGCGTAATGAACTCTTCACTGACGTTGGAATCTCTCGTTATCTACATTAGACCCTTTAGAACTAATAGAGATTTTGCTAACTTAAAATATTTACGTTACCGTCACTTTAATAAGTTGGTGATTTCAATGGTTTTGTTAAGTCCTCTGAGATGACTTCTGTTGTGACCTAGGGCTATACAAGAATAAATTGTATTGTATTGTATTGTGTGTAAGAAAGAGAGAGAGGGGTTTTTCTTTGTTTACGGAGCGAGTGGAGACCATGGATCTATCATAATAACTGGATAGGGTATTTCTAGCTTGGAGCTGAATAACTCATGTGCTCGGGGGATTCTCGCGGTACTGCAGACTGAACCAGGCTAAATTCACGTGGGCTACACAGAAATTTTCCCCATAGAACTCAATGCATATTAAAGCAGCTCAACCTCAGCTGACAAAGAACCTGACAGAGAACCTACAGCTTTAATAAAGGTCGGATTTTGTGGAGATTTTAGTGTCCCTTGTCATCCTGAACTTTTTTTCTTCTTAAATCCTTTGGTTTTGTTTAAATCCACACTTTAGTGCCACAAACTCTGCTCGTCTGGCTCTCGCTCTAACTCCCGCTCTGATGAACTGCTCTGATTGGTCAGAGCGCGGCCGAGCCCCTCTGTGCACGTGCGTGAGACCCGATGTGAGACCCACACACGCGTGTTTGGCGCAACGCATTAAGGGAGATAATCCACTGCGCAGAACCGGGAGGACCAGACGATGCCCAAATACAGGCGAGTTTCCCATAGATCTTTGCAAGTTCCTGTCGGCTTCCTCTAATCTTTCAGCCCCCATGCTGTCACAAAGCGCCACTGAGCACAACCATTCATTTGAATAGGGCGCAATCTTGGATCGCCGGGGCTTGGTGGAGCCGAAAGAGCACCAAACTTTTCACAGCTCAAGAAATAAGGAGCCATACGGTGTTCTTACCGTTGTTACTTTATTTCAGAGACAACTCAGCAAATATAATTTAGTGTACAAGAGTTCGAGCTGTGGAATACATGTTTTTTGTTAATTCCTTTACGTGGAGCTCTTTTTCAAGTAACACGAGTGAGCCCTGTGGAAACTGCTACACGGGAAACTAGACCCAAATACTGTGTAACGTTACCAACAATAACACTGGGCCTCATTCACGAACGGTTCTTACGAACAAATTTGTGCGTAAATCCTACTTAAGAGGATTTTACGAAGAATGTGGCATTCACAAATATTTCTCGTAAGCAGAATTTCTCTTGGGTAAGTACAAATCCTACGAGTGCTCAGGAGCACTCAGTGCCGACACGTTTGCACGCTCGTGTTGTGAAGTTCAATAAAATACAACATTACAGTGATATGTTTGTCATATTGATGTATGTATTTATTTATTTAATTGTTTATGGTAATTTAGTCATTTTTTAAATTCATTTGTAAACTTAATGCGCCAACGCTTTATCAAATACATTGGAAATCATGCCGTTAGTGACTCCATCCTATTGATAGGGGACATTTATCCATCCACGGGTCACAAAACAATGGAATATATACTGCTGCAGCAGGAGGACCGCGCTGGTCTCTCCATATGGTCTCTCCAGTCGCTGCGGTCTCTCTTCGGTCCGCGCTGGTCTCATAAGGTCCGCGCTGGTCTCAGTCTATGTGGTCTTTCTTCGGTCCGCGCTGGTCTCAGTCTATGCGGTCTCTCTTCGGTCCGCGCTGGTCTCATGCTGGTCTCATGCGGTCCGCGCTGGTCTCAGTCTATGCGGTCTCTCTTTGGTCCGCGCTGGTCTCAGTCTATGCGGTCTTTCTGCGGTCCGCGCTGGTCTCAGTCTATGCGGTCTCTCCTCGGTCCGCGCTGGTCTCAGTCTATGCGGTGTCTCCTCGGTCCGCTCTGGTTTCTGTGTGCTGGTCTCTCCAGTCTCTCCTCGGGTCTGCATTGGTCTCAACGCTGGATCTCCTCTCAGGGTCCAAAATATCCATTCATCCATCCATCCATTTTCTTCCGCTTTATCCGTTGCCGGGTCGCGGGGGCAGCAGTCTAAGCAGAGACGCCCAGACTTACCACAACGGTCCGATACAGCGACCGCATCACTGCGCACGCTGCACCGATCCGTCTGTCAATCTCACGCTCCATCCTCCCCTCACTCGTGAACAAGACCCCGAGATACTTGAACTCCTCCACTTGAGGAAGGACCTCTCCACCCACCTGAAGAGGGCAAGGCACCTTTTTCCGGTCGAGCACCATGGCCTCGGATTTGGAGGTGCTGATTCTCATCCCAGCCGCTTCACACTCGGCTGCAAACCGTCCCAGTGCATGCTGCAGGTCCTGGTTCGTTGGAGCCAGCAGGACGACATCATCCGCAAACAGCAGAGATGAAATCCTGTGGTCTCCGAACCGGACCCCCTCCGACCCCTGGCTGCGCCTAGATATTCTGTCCATAAATACAGTGAACAGAACCGGTGACAAAGGGCAGCCCTGTCGGAGGCCAACATTCACTGGGAACAGGTCTGACTTACTGCCGGCAATGCGAACACAGCTCTGGCTCCGGTCATACAGGGATCGGATGGCCCTCAGCAGAGGACCTCCGACCCCGTACTCCCGGAGAACCCCCCAAAGGACACCCCGGGGAACACAGTTGAACGCCTTCTCCAAATCCACAAAGCTCATGTGGACAGGTTGGGCGAACTCCCATGAACCCTCGAGTATCCGATGGAGAGTATACCGCACCGTACATGGTGTTGGCAAAGAACTGCTTCCCCCTCCTGAGGCGCCGGATGGTTTGCCAGAATCTCTTTGAGGCCGACCGATAGTCATGCTCCATGGACTCTCCGAACTCCTCCCAGTCCCGGGTTTTTGCCTCTGCAACAGCCCGGGCCGCGGCACTCCCCCCTGGACTGCCACCTTAACGTGGTGGGGGAGTTTGAGTACTCGGATGATCCTGGGAGCTATGCTGTCTGGGGCTTCATGCCCCTGGTAGGGTCTCCCATGGCAGACAGGTCTCAGGTGACGAGTCAGACAAAGAGCAGTCCAGAAGACACCATGGACAGCACAGATATGAGATCAGTGACGTCGCCCGGCATGGCGTATATATGTTAGATAGTCCACAGTCTCCTGTATATCAGGCTCTGAGTCCAAACTGCTTTTCCTTCGAAGCACAAAGCTCTCTGCTCCATAGTGCCTCGTCCATTGTCCCTGCTGCAGCCGCTCCGTGCTTCCTTCCAATACACACACACGGACCAATCACAGCGGAAATTCCTTGCGGCGACCCTTACGTAGTTAGAAAATTTCGATGCTGCGCGGCAGGCGACGTAAGGTAGAGCCCTGCACGGGCCTATTATCTGGGCCCGAGCCCGGCCCTGGCCCGAGGGGGTGGCGCCCCAGCCCGGCCCGGCCCAATATGGTTTCTCAATTTTCAAGCCCGAAACCCGCATCAAGCCCGCCTTTTTTTTTTTTTTTGTAACCTCCCATAACAATGTTTTAGCGTAGTATATAGTGCCGCGCACTGATATGAACGCAGACTTAGCTAGAGGGCGGAGTTATACATGGTAGTGATGTGTTGCAATGAGTTCTGTGTGTGCGGAGTGGTGCAGAGTGAACATCTGTATGATACACAGCTGTATGATGCCCAGATGCTGCAACACACCTGTAAGTAACGCTATGTGCCGTCAATGACAACACTACACAGAACAACAAACACTACAGCGTGATAGAACGCTATATTCAGTGGGTGCGTTCGTAAATGTATTCTGCCGCTCTGAAAATGAAGAGCCCGAGCCCGGCCCGTGTCCGAGGTCATTATGCGGTCATCGGCCCGAAGCCCGGCCCTCGGGCTGTCGGGCCGTCGGGGCCCTCGGGCCAAGGGCTCAAGTGCAGGGCTCTAACGTAAGGGCCTTGCGGTGACCAACGCGTTGCGCAAGTGACGTCACGTCACCTCCCTAAGCTCCGCGCGAGTATAAACTAGGCTTTACTCTTTGCTTTAGGCATGTTGCTGTTTCCTCTGGCGTCTGCACACGGCCCTGCAGTGCCTTATATGGGCATTAATGGGCGGTTACCTATGCTAAGTACCTATGCTAATGAAGCACCGGGCACGCGCGCTCTACTTACGAGGAGTTGGTATTCATCAATCTGAGAGAACAGCTGCAAACAATTCAGCGACTTACGAGTGCGTTGATGAATTCCACGTAGGGTCTTCTTAGAAATCTCCTGAAGAACGACTTGAAGAAATTTAAGAAGTTTCTTACGAAGTTATTCGTGAATGAGGCCCACTGTCCTTTGTTGCTATAAATGTTCAAATGTGATGGTTTTCATGAACACAAACAAACACACACAGCCTAAATAAATAAACAGGAATATACAGCAATAATGATTTGAAACAAGCACATTTACCCAAAATGTTCAAAAGACTAACTCATCAAATTAATGTAGTATCATCTTGTTATTCGCCTTGGTTTACAATACAATACAATACAATTTATTCTTGTATAGCCCTAGGTCACAACAGAAGTCATCTCAGAGGACTTAACAAAACCATTGAAATCACCAACACAGGTCAGAGAATCAACAGTTAAAACACATGAAGAATACAGTATAAAGCACACACAGAAGAAAATGTCCATACATGTTGTAGAATGCTAAAGTGTCCTGATCATCACCAATCCTTTCTGTTGGACACTAACTGTCCAACAAGACCCTCCTGCATCGACAAGGTAAAACTCTTAAAAAACCCAGTGGGAAAAAGTGAGAAACCTTGGAGGAGAACTAGGGAAACCCACAGGGAGGGAGACCCATATGAGAAAGGGATCCGCTCCTCCGGACGGACAGACTAATGATCCAGGACCTAAGCTAGCTACAGAACGTGGACCAGTGGACGCTGAACGTGGACAGGTCCGGTGCAGGACTGAAGCACTCCCAGGCGGGTCGGGCGGGGCAGTCCGCAGGTGTAGATGGAAGAGGCCAGGCTCAGAGATCCCGTCATCGTACCATGAAACAGACAATGGGACAACGGGTGAATAGCAATGAACAAACTACAGTCAGAATCCTAAAAATGCTAAACAGATAAAGTAGGAAGGAGGAGAGGATAGTGCTCAAGTTACCATACTTCTCCCAGCAAACTGACTCCCTATGCAGCTTGACTAACACTCTGAGGAGTTTAACCTTCTCCGAGTCTTACCTTCCTAGCCATATGCTAAACTAAAGAGGACTGTTTTAAACCTAGCCTTGAATAAAGAATAACATACAGCATAATATATAACATAATATACAACATAACACAATACATTATTGAATAATATATAACATAATATATAACATAATACAGCATATATATATAATATATACACTACATATTATATATTACCTAATTATATGCTAAATTAAAGTAAAGTGCTTTAAGCCTGGCCTTGAATGTGGAGACCGTATCTGCTTCCTTAACATAAATGGGAAGCTGATTCCACAGTAAAGGAGCTTGGTAGCTAAATGCTCTGCCACCAACAGTGACCTTTGAGACCTTAGGGACCACCAGACGTCTGGCGTTTTGTGAGCGCAACGCTCGACCTGGTTGATACGACACTAACGTGTCTTGGAGATAAGAGGGAGCCAAGCCATTTATGGCTTTATATGTTAAGAGTAGGATTTTAAACTTTATTCTGTACTCCACAGGGAGCCAGTGGAGTGATTTTAACACCGGAGTTATGTGCTCCCTCCTTTTGGTACCTGTTAAGATCCTAGCTGCTGTATTCTGAACGAGCTGGAAGCTCTTCAAAGAGGCTTTAGGGCACGCTGCCAGTAAAGCGTTACAGTAGTCGAGCCTTGAGGTGACAAACGCGTGAATGAGTTTTTCCGCGTCACTTTTAGGAAGGAAATTCCTAATTTTAGCGATGTTCCGTAAGTGGAAGTACGCCGTTTTAGTTGCTTGGCTTATATAAGCCTTGAAGGAGAGTTCTTGGTCAAAAATGACTCCAAGATTCCTCACAGTGTTACTGGGTATTATACTGACATTATCGAGAGTAACCATCTGGTTAGTGAGGGAGTCACGCAGGCGCTTCGGACCGAGTAGGATCACTTCTGTCTTCTCCGGGTTGAGAAGTAGGAAGTTAAGAGTCATCCACATTTTAAGGTCCTTTATGCAGGCACTGAGCTTTTCTAGCTGATCTGTCTGATTAGGCTTCATCGACAGATAAAGCTGTGTGTCATCTGCATAGCAGTGGAAATTAATTCCATGCTTTTTAATAATGTTTCCCAGTGGCAGCATGTAGAGAGTAAAAAGAATCGGTCCGAGTACCGAACCCTGCGGCACACCGAATTCCACTCCAGAATAAGGCGACGAGTCCTGATTCACATTGACGAAGTGATATCGATCTGATAAATAGGATTTAAACCAGCCAAGGGCTGTTCCTCTAAGACCTATATCACATAGCCTCTGCAGTAGAAAGCTGTGGTCTATTGTGTCAAATGCAGTAGTCTCATTACAAATGCTCATGTGGTCTATGCACAGACCAACTGTGTCATAACTCGTGCAGCAGTGGGGGAGGGTCCCAGCTCAAAAGTGGCCAAAATGATGTGCGCTGACATTACCACCCCCGGGCCGATGGGGGTCAGAAGAAGAATTTCATATAGCATTGGCAGACCTCTCAAAAACGTCTTTACAGGATGGACCAAAAGTTGTCTCTTGGCCCAAAGCTTCGTTCCACATGTGTGTCAATGCTGAGGGGGGTGGATTTTTTGGTCCACTCTAGTTTACTCGCAGGAAATTTTTGAAGTCTCTCGTTCAAATGAATGGAGCTCTTGCCGGCTGATGCATGCGCAGATGCGTTTTTTTTTCACAATTTTCTTGTGGGCGGGACCACTCGCAGCCATTTTGGATTGCTCCATGAAAGCACTTTTCATGGCCAACTCCTATGAACGGCGGAGATAGGCGTGACTCTGTCCATTAATATATACAGTCTATGATTTTTTCACCATTGAATTTTTTCTCGTTGAATTTTGACTGTTGAATTTAACATTATGAAATTGATAATCAGTGACTATTCACAGAAAAAAAATATTCAAGATGTTAAAAATATTCAAATAGATAAATTCAGGTCCATTTAAAATTCAATTTCTGATTGGAACAAATAATCCGTCTTTTTTTATTTTATTTAAAAAAAAAATTGAATATTTTGAAGGTGAAAATGTCATTTTGAAATTTTAAAATCACATTGAAATTTGTAAACTGAATTATTAGTGATTGAAATGCAAAGATAAAAATATTCAAACATGCTTTTTCAGGGTTAAAAATTTCAAATGGAAAAATTCATGCTAAAAAAATTCAATATCTGATGACACAAAAAATCTTCCATATTTTATTCCATTTTAATTTGTCTTTTCTCTGAGTGTGAAATTCAAAGTACCACGTCTCTCCTCTAGGTGTCTCTGTGAGCAACTTTAAGCGACAACTTCCTGATCCTACACGTCACATCTGATGACGCCAAGCAAAATGACAACAAGCAAAAGGTTTGTATCCTCTGGGACTGAGGCTAGACCCAAGACTGAGGCTGTAGACCCAGGACTGAGGCTGTAGACCCAGGACTGAGACTATAGACCCAGGACTGAGGCTGTAGAAGACCCAGGACTGAGGCTGTAGATCCAGGACTGAGGCTGCAGACCCAGGACTGGTTCATGTGTCTTTCCTGTTGTGTTCAGGGAGACCTCGTTCTACAGTGGTGACTATCTGTTTGAGGCTTTGACCAAGTTGTGTGTGATCGGCCAAGAAGCCGGACTGTATCCAGGTCGTACAGGGCAGGTGAGAACTCTACTCTACTCTACTCTTTCTGGTTGTGTTTTCTTTTTGCTTAGTTTCTAGTACTGGGTGTTCGAACAACCGCCCCCACAACAAACCAGTATCCAGGGAAATTCCTTGGTAACCATGGCTTCCAGCAGCACTCTGACCTATCACTGTCAGTTAGAACAATTTAGAACCAGCTCGGCCTGGATAGAACCAAGACCAAAAGGGACTAAATATGGTACTGGTTCACAGGACCAGAGGAAAAACTCCCAATCAGAGTATGGAGTATAGTAGAGTAGAAACAGGCCTACAGAGATGTTTATCTTCCTGAGTATAGTATGAATAAAATACGAATAGAGTATGAATAGCATATGAATAGCATATGAATAGCGTATGAATATCATATGATTACAGTATGAATAGAGTATGAATAGAGTATGGATTAAAGTGTGAATGGAGTGTGAAGAACGTATGAATAGAGTATGAATAACGTATGAATATCATATGATTACAGTATGAATAGTAAGTATGAATAGCGTATGAATATCATATGATTACAGTATGAATAGAGTATGAATAGCGTATGAATATCAGATGATTGCAGTATGAATAGAGTATGAATAGTGTATGAATATCATATGAGTACAGTATGAATAGAGTATGGATAAAGTGTAAATGGAGTGTGAAGAACGTATGAAAAGAGTATGAATAGCGTATTAATAGCATATGAATAGAGTATGAATAGCGTATGAACAGAGTATGGAATAAAGCATGAATAAAGCAGATAACTGATTGTGGTGCAGTGTTCGGTTCGACATCCATCCCGCAGAGGAGGGCTTCGTGGACTTCAAAAAGTATGGCCACGAGGCGATGGTCTACAGAGCGAAGAACGGACACTTGATGGTTGTGAGTCCAGTTCAATACAGACCATGTGGTTCAGAGTCACGACATTAACTGTGTATTTGTAAAACCAGTTTTCATTTCAGGAATCAAGAACCAAATCCAGAATATAAATCATTTGTTTCACCTGAGGGAGTTGCCAAAAGGGAAGAAGATTCTCTCGAGTTAAAGTCACAGTAAATGCCATATAGTCTCCAATACCTCAGTGTTCCATGTGAATAAATAACATACTTTCAGCTTTCTACTTTTGGTGTTTTACTGTATTCTCTGTCGTAAACTGTAATTTGACATAATTATTGAAAGGATTCTGCAGGTAAAAACATTGCTACTGATCAACATACTGTAGGCTGTAATTAAACAATACTAACCTGGTAGCTCAATGCTAAAACCACCAGCTCAATGCTAACCAGGTCCCGGTGATCCAAGATGGCAGAACTTGCTTACATGATTCGTCAAATTCCTATCCAGATTTTATCATAGATCCACGATACAGATGGACAATGCTAACCCGGTAGCTACTACGAAGCCCAGTAGGGAAGGTGCTCATTGACAAGTTTGGCTCTGGGCTTCCTATTGTCTTACATTGAAGACCCTGGACTTGCTAAGGAAAGCTGGGGTGTCCTCGGGTGAGAATAAAGGCCTCTGATTGGTCAATGGTTATATGGCTCATATCTGGATTTACAAAAATACTATCACAATATGAACACCAGGGTCACAGAGAGCGCTAAACCACAGATCAGTGAGAGACCAGAGACAAGAGGGACCAGAGGGAGACCACAGAGAGAGAGACCAGAAAGACACATGAAAGAGTCCGGGAGAGAGACCAGAGAGGGGATCAGAGAGAGAGACCAGTGAGAGACCAGTGAGAGGCCAGAGAGAGACCAGAGAGAAACTAGAGAGAGAATGGAGAGAGACCATTGAGAGATGCCACCAGAGAGGGATCAGAGAGGGATCAGAGAGAGAGACGAGAGAGAGACCAGAGAGAGACCAGAGAGGGATCAGAGAGAGAGACGAGAGAGAGACCAGAGAGAGACCAGAGAGAGACCAGAGAGAAACCAAGAGAAACTAGAGAGAGAATGGAGAGAGACCAGAGAGAGACCAGAGAGGGATCAGAGAGGGGATCAGAGAGAGAGACGAGAGAGAGACCAGAGAGAGACCAGAGAGGGATCAGAGAGAGAGACGAGAGAGAGACCAGAGAGAGACCAGAGAGAGACCAGAGAGAGACCAGAGAGAAACCAGAGAGAAACTAGAGAGAGAATGGAGAGAGACCAGAGAGAGACCGAGAGAGAAACCAGAGAGAAACTAGAGAGAGAATGGAGAGAGACTAGAGAGAGACCAGAGAAAAACCTAGAGCTCAAAATGGTGAGTGTGACACAAACAAGAGAGAGAGTTGTAGTTAGATGTGGGTGACGTCAAGAGTTTGCGTCAAACGGGAAGGTTGTAGTTTGGTAATGGCGAAAAATGTGATAGTAAAGTAATCGGTCTGGTTCTATCAAGAAATTTGAAGCCGGAGTAAGAGGAATGTTTATCAAATGTAATCGCTGGGAAAAAAAATGGCTAAATGCTAAATGCTAACGACTCACTCGGGCACATTACATACGTCACAGTAAACTCAGATCCAATCGTTTCAATCTTCAAAAGGAGTTAGCCCCTCCCACCTGTAAACGGAGTCAATGGAGCAAATCCAGACCTTAGTACAAATGAAATGAGTACCATGGTGTGGAAAGACCAGCCTAGGTTGTAGTGGGTAGGTTGCTAGATAGAGTGAGTAGAGTAGAGTAGAGCAGAGCAGAGTAGAGTACAGTAGAGCAGAGCAGAGCAGAGCAGAGCAGAGCAGAGCAGAGCAGAGCAGAGTAGAGTAGAGTAGAGTAGAGTAGAGTAGAGTAGAGTAGAGTAGAGTAGAGCAGAGTAGAGTAGAGTAGAGTAGAGTAGAGTAGAGTAGAGTAGAGTAGAGTAGAGTAGAGTAGAGTAGAGTACAGAGTAGTAGAGTAGAGTAGAGTAGAGTAGAGTAGAGTAGAGTAGAGTAGAGCAGAGTAGAGCAGAGTAGCAGAGTAGAGTAGAGTAGAGTACATACCAGCCTCTCTCTGTTTGATATAGTTTCCTTTCACTCTGTAGCCTTTGTACTTGGCCTGGATCCTTGTGGCTGTAAAACAAACATATTTATTAAACAATGTAAAACATATTAAAGCTGAGGTCCCTAACTTACGGTAGCAACACACATGGGTCTGTATTTTAGTAAAAACATTGTTATATTTTTCTGAGAGCTGATTGACTGAGTGAGGGTGGTCCTCTCTTTTACAATATTCTGTCAGAAAAATCAAATGTGACAGAAGCCAGAAAAAAACATGAAACTGTTTTATAACCTGGAACGAGAAACATGGATTCTATTGGTGTGATCTTGCTGGTCTCTATCTCTCTATGATCCCTCTCTGGTCTCTCTCTCTGGTCTCTCTCTCTGGTCTCTCTCTCTGGTCTCTCTCTCTGGTCTCTCTCTCTGGTCTCTCTCTCTGGTCTCTCTCTTTGGTCGCTCTCTTTGGTCGCTCTCTGGTCTCTCTCTGGTCTCTCTCTGGTCTCTCTCTGGTCTCTCTTTCTGGTCTCTCTCTGGTCTCTCTCTAGTCTCTATCCGGTCTCTCTCGTGTCTCTCTGGTCTTTCTCAGGTCTCTCTCTGGTCTCTCTTTGCCTCTCTCTGGTCTCTTTCTGGTCTCTCTCTGGTCTCTCTCTGGTCTCTCTCTCTGGTCTCTCACCGGTCTCCCTCTGGTCTCTCTCGGGTCTCTCTCCGGTCTCTCTCTCGTCTCTCACTGGTCTCTCTCTGCTCTCTCTCTGCTCTCTCTCTGGTCTCTCTCTGGTCTCTCTCTCTGGTCTCTCTCTGGTCTCTCTCTGGTCTCTCTCTGGTCTCTCTCTGGTCTCTCTCTGGTCTCTCTCTGGTCTCTCTCTGGTCTCTCTCTGGTCTCTCTCTGCTCTCTCTCTCTGGTCTCTCTCTGGTCTCTCTCTCCGGTCTCTCTCTGGTCTCTCTCTGGTCTCTCTCCTGTCTCTCTCTTACCCAGTTTGTGTTTGCAGAGCTGAAATGCGTCCTCGGTGGCGAACAGAGTGCGTGGATGGCGAATGAAGATCTTTGTTCTTTAAAACATTTTAAAAACAGAAACAGAAAAGTTTAAATCCTCTTAAGTCGATTCAGAAACATCTCCTTCCCCCCTTTCTCTCTCTGGTTTCTGGTCCCTCTCTCTGGTTTCTGGTCTCTCTCTCTGGTTTCTGGTCCCTCTCTCTGGTTTCTGGTCTTTCTCTCTGGTCTCTCTCTCACTGGTCTTTCTCTCTGGTCTCTCTCTCTAGTTTCTGGTCTCTCTCTCTAGTCTCTCTCTCTGGTCTCTCTCTCTGGTCTCTCTCTGGTTTCTGGTCCCTCTCTCTGGTTTCTGGTCTCTCTCTCTGGTCTTTCTCTCTGGTCTCTCTCTCTGGTCTCTCTCTCTGGTCTCTGGTCTCTCTGATCTTTCTTCCTAGTCTCTCTTTGGTCCGTCTCTACTTGGTTGCCCACCTGGTGTGTGTATGTCACACCTGTCCACCTGGTGTGTGTGACATCACCTGTCCACCTGGTGTGTGTGGCATCACCTGTCCACCTGGTGTGTGTGACATCACCTGCCCACCTGGTGTGTGTGACATCACCTGCCCACCTGGTGTGTGTGACATCACCTGTCCACCTGGTGTGTGTGACATCACCTGCCCACCTGGTGTGTGTGACATCACCTGCCCACCTGGTGTGTGGGCAGGTGATGTCACAGGTGTGTGATGTGGACAGGTGTGTGATGTCACACACACCTGTCCACCTGGTGTGTGTGACATCACCTGCCCACCTGGTGTGTGTGACATCACCTGTCCACCTGGTGTGTGTGTGACATCACCTGCCCATCTTGTAGTCGTCAGGAGTGTATCCCAGGTGTCTGACGAGGCGCCGCACCCCCTCCCCCGCTGACCCCCTCCAGTTCGGCCACGTCTCAGGACACAGCGCCTTGTATCTGCAACACAAACACGGAAGATTATTTTGTGTCAGCAGTTTTTGAAATTAGCTTAAATTTATTAACCGTGAAAAACAAGTTTAAATATCTTTTCATTTCAGTCTCTAAAAATTCAGTTTACAAATTTCAATGGAATTAGACCGGCTGCAAGATAGTGGCTGTCACACACAGACACACGCACACACTGTCACACACACAGACACACAAACACACACTGTCACACACACAGACACACACACAGACACACACACACACACTGTCACATAAACACACATTGTCACACAAACACACACACACTGGCACACACACAAATAAATAGACACACACACACTGTCACACAAACACACACACAAACAAACACTCACACAAACACACACACACACAAACACACAGTCACACACTTTACCTCTGAAGGAAGATCTCGAATTTGCGTCGATAGGCGAACCCCGCCCTCCTCACCCTCAGATGTTCCATCAGACCCAGGTATTTGACCTGATGTCGCACCAGCACGTCATCAAAGCGGCCTGTAGGGGGCAGACCAGGGTTAGAGCTGGAGGAGCACACTTACAAACAGACATGTGAGTTTATTTATCCATTTAGCGCCTCTCACAAAATAGTTGTGTGGAGAACATGCAAACTCCACATAGAGAGGCACATCTGGAGCATAGACTGTATACAGATGGACAATGCTAACACAGACTGTATACAGATGGACAATGCTAACACAGACTGTATACAGATGGACAATGCTAACACAGACTGTATACAGATGGACAATGCTAACACAGACTGTATACAGATGGACAATGCTAACACAGACTGTATACAGATGGACAATGCTAACACAGACTGTATACAGATGGACAATGCTAACATAGATTGTGAAGCCAAATATGGTGAAGTTTGGCTCCTCTTTCTGGCTCCAATTGACTTCATGTAAAAGTAAACTCCTCTAGTTCATCACCTCGATAAGTTTGGGAGAGACAGTGTGCTACAGTCTGGCCTCCGTCACATTATCCAATCAGCTGTCAGTATGTAGAAGACACACAGAAGTCAGGAGCTTGAGATTTAAGGCAGGGTCTCACTTACCTGGTTGTTTGGATTCGTTGGGTTTGATGCAGCGGACGTACCAGGGCTCTTTGGACATGAGGATCTCAGTCAGACCCACCAGACTGACTTTAAACTGGGTCACAACCTGAGGAAGAACCAGTAGGCATAATAATAATAATAATATGCTGTGAATGCTTCTCAAGAGAGCAGTCGTGTGTCTCTGCTCTGCTTTTGCTTCGCCTTGAATCATTTTATTTACATTTTTTGTTTCTCCTTTAATCATTTTATTTACAAAACGAGGATTACTCCTTCTACACACTTCAGCTTTGTGGAATTTATCAACTTTAGTCATGTCGGGACGAAAGAGACAAAGAAGCGTCTGCGGCGGCTGTTGTGCTCTGGAATATCAGCTCAAATCTCTTCAAACACGGATATCTATTGTGGAAACAGAAATGGGACTTAACCCGACTCTTCCAATGAGTGAAAATGGGATGAATGGACAGACTGGAAATGTAAGTTATGACGTCATTTCTTTTCCCAAAATCAACAATGAGAATTATTGGAACAATTGTGGAGCTAAACCCAAAGTTGACAAAGCTAAGAATGACAATAAGAGTGAAATAAGGCCACAACTAAATGTTCTGAAGACTTCAAACCGCTTTTTACCCCTTTCTGAAACAACAAAGCCGCTAACAACTGCAGCGCCTCCACCAAGGACAAACTGTGTCCTTATCGGAGATGGTTCGGTGAAAAATGTAAACATGGAGTCCATGCTCACTGTCTCAGTTCACTCTGCAAAAGTTGCTGAGATAAGGACTCTTCTGCCTAAAGTGTTACCTGAGAACAGTGGTGTGCGTACATTATTGATCCACACGGGGGCAGTAGATATCTATGAGAAGGCAAGCGAGAAGTTACGAATGGATTTAACGCTGTTACTGGATGACCTCAAGAAAATGGACATACCAATTTTTCTTAGTGGACCACTTCCAAATATAGATGGAAAAATTGAGTTTCAGCCGTCTGTATCAGCTAAATACATTCCTACTCAATGAGTGTTCACGCAGAGGACTTGGCTTCATTGAAAACTTTAATCTGTTCTGGAATAGGCATGAGCTTTTTGAAGAAAAAGGTCCACATCTGAACAACTACGGAGTAAAAGTGTTGATGGATAACTTTGCATCTGCCCTAAGACCTCAGCCTGCGCAGCGCGTGCAGCCGTCAAAAGGGAGAAAGAAGAAGCAAAGGGCACAGACATCACGACCATCTCCACCGACTCCCGAGGTCTCTGCACCCCCACCGCCTCAAAAGAACTCCACACCTCCACGATTCAAGAAGAACTCAACACCTCCAAGGTTCCAAAAGAACTCAACACCTCCACGGCTCCGAAAGAGCTCAACGCCTCCACCACCAGCATCATCAGCAGCTGCCACATCTTCATCAGCGCCATCAGCATATACAGCACCACCAGCAGCAGTGGATACAGCAGCAGCAGTGGCTGCTCCATCATCTTCAGCAGCAGCAGTGGCTGCTCCGTCATCTTCAGCAGCACCTTCCCCACCTACAGCTCCCGTGAAGCTTCCCCCATTGCTCCAGGCTACAGTCAGGCCTGTACTGGGGGTTCCTCAACCACCTCTGTCTCCACCAAAGACTCCCTCATCACCTTCCATGGACCCGACTTGGGTCCCCCCCCCGCTACATCCACTCCATCTAGGGAAAATGAGGACGACCTTTCCCTTTGTTTTCTATCCCCGGCTTCACTACTGGATTTACCGGAACACTCGGCAGGCATGATAAGATCGGCGATGAAGACTATTCCTCTCACACCCACTGTAGCCAGATCAAGAGTCCTATCTAACATTCAAAACTACTCCCCATACGTACCTCCAAAGCCACCTAGGGCGTCCAACTCAAATTCACCCACAAAATCCACCCGTCCCTCCTCTAACCCCATAAGTATTCCACCCCCCCTCCTGCTCATTTAGCCCACCTCCCCCGTAACCCAGCACCAAGAAACCCTCCACCTCCACTCCCCCCTCGTCCACCACCCAACTCAGCCTGCCCCTCCCCTAACCCATCACCAAAAACCCATCCACCTTCAACCCCCCCCCGTCCAACTCCCAAGAACCACCCGCCTCTCCATCCTCCTCCCCCGCCTTCCCCTTCCCCTCTTTTCTCTAAACACTAGGATGCACAGGGTCTCTGCTTCGCAGCCACTGGCAGTCTAGGTAGAGGAGAGACCCGGCTGGGGCCCTGTCATAAAGCCACCTGTGCCATTCCTTTAGTGATAACACAAAGAATACATAACAGAAAAACATCTGAAGTTAATCAGTCTAATCAGGAAAATATAATTCTTGTTCCGTGTAAGAATCAGCCGACCACAACCGCTGATCCTGAAACTTTGAAACTTGCTATTCTAAATGTCAGATCTCTTTGTAACAAGTCTTTTTTAATCAATAATTTTATTTGTTCTCATAATCTTGATCTTATGTTCATGGCTGAAACTTGGCTTGACCAAAATACAGAAAATGCAGTTTTAATAGAAGCATCACCACCAAATTTCAAATTTGAATCTGAAATACGGGGAAACAAAAAAGGAGGAGGCTTAGCTGCCATTTTCAGAGATCACTTTGTCTCCCATAGAAAACCTCTTGGGAAGTTTCCGTCTTTTGAATATGTGTCTTTTAAAATACAACAAAAACAATCTCCTCCGATACTTTTCGTTGTCCTATACAAGCCACCGCAATCATGTCACAGTTTTATTGATAATTTTACAGAGTTGCTTTCAGTTGTATGCACAGATTTTGATAGCTTAGTTATTACAGGTGATTTTAATATTCATGTGGATAATGTTATTGACAGAAATGCAAAAGAGCTGAGTTCTGTTCTTGAATCTTTTGGTCTCACTCAGCATGTGAGTGGCCCCACCCACAGCAGAGGGCACACTCTAGACCTGTTAGTTACAAAGGGGGTGAACATTTCTAATGTAAACGTGGTCGATGTTGCGCTTTCGGATCATTTTTGTGTATTTTTTGACATGTGTTTCACTAACAAACCACCAGTGGACTCTGCAATTGTACGAAGAAGACACATACTGTAAATGAAAATACGGGTGAACTATTTATGGGAATGATAAACTTTGAGAATGCATCGTATTCTACTGTAGATTAACTGTTTAACTCTGTCACCTCTAGTGTTTTGAATGTTCTGGACACCATCGCTCCTGTGAAGGTTAAAATAGTGAAAAATAAGCAGAAGGCGCCGTGGGCTAAAGCAGACTCGGTCAGGGCACAAAAGAGAGAGTGCCGGAGGGCCGAGCGGAAGTGGCGCAAGTCCAACCTCCAGGTTGATTACGAGATCTTCAAAGATAAGTTGTGCGAGTTTAACCGGGTGCTACGTAGTACAAGAGAAAGGTTTTTTTTTTTAAATGATTGAAGGCTGTAGCAACAATCTGCGTGTTCTGTTTTCAACAGTTAATAGATTAACAAACCCCCCTGTTCAGATGCCATTAGAGCTAACTTCCAAACGTAAATGTAATGAGTTTGCAATTTTTTTCAATGACAAGTTTCAAGGCATCAAAAACGCCATTGTCTCCAATCCACAGATAACCATCCAACAACCAGAAAGGCTCTTTGAGCTAACTTACTTTGCACCTGTAAATGATCAAACTGTCCAAGAGATAATCTCCAGTTTGAGCTCCTCCACATGCAGCCTGGATGCACTAGATTTCTAAAGTCTGTTCTGAGCAGTCTGTTACCTTCACTCACACAGATAGTAAACATGTCCCTTAATTCTGGAATATTCCCAAAGACCCTGAAAACTGCAGTCATCAGGCCCCTGCTAAAAAAGAGCAGTCTGGATGCTACGGTACTTAACAACTATCGTCCCATCTCAAATCTGCCATTTATGGGGAAAGTCCTTGAAAAAGCTAAATAGCTTTTTTATAATCCACAACTCATTTGATATGTTTCAGTCCGGCTTTAGACCCCACCACAGCACTGAGACTGCTCTCGTCAAGGTTACAAACAATATCCGGCTAAACACTGACGCAGGCAAAGTCTCAATCCTAATCCTGTTAGATCTGAGTGCTGCCTTTGACACTGTCGACCATGAGATCCTCTTACAGAGACTAGAGGACTGGGTTGGCGTCGCTGGCACCGCCCTAAGTTGGTTTAGGTCTTACCTTGAAGACAGGAAGTACTTTGTGGAGATTGGAAACTGTGTCTCAGATCATATGGCCCTGACCTGTGGAGTACCACAGGGGTCGATCCTGGGACCTCTTCTGTTCAATCTCTACATGCTGCCGTTAGGTCAGTTAATACGCAGAAACAAAGTTTCCTATCACAACTATGCAGACGACACTCAGATCTATGTCTCACTGACTGCAGGAGAACATGGACCAGTGGACTCACTCCTTCACTGTATCCAACAGATCAGTGAGTGGATGCAAAACAACTTCCTTCAGCTAAACGCAGACAAAACTGAAATGATTGTCTTTGGTCCCCAGAAACAAAGAGAGAGCGTCATCTGTCATCTACAGTCTCTCTCCCTAAAACCTTCAAACAAGGTCAGAAATCTAGGGGTAATACTGGACTCAGACTTACATTTTAATAGCCACATCAAATCAGTAACATCAGCAGCTTTTTACCATCTAAAAAACATTGCCAGGATCAAAAACATAGTGTCTAAAGCAGACTTGGAGATTCTTATCCATGCATTTGTCTCCAGTAGGTTAGACTACTGCAATGGCCTGCTCACAGGTCTGTCCAAACAGGCTGTAAAACAGCTGCAGTACATTCAAAATGCAGCAGCTCGAGTCCTGACTAGAACCAGGACTAGAGTTTGTTTAACCAGTACCAGCTGGAACTAAAGTCCAGTTCCATGGATACTGGTTTGTCGTGGGTAGTTTACTAGGATACGGTACTAGAAACTAAAGCGTAATGGAAACAGAACCAGGTAGAGTAGAGTAGAGTAGCGCTAATTAAAGGCGCTATACCCGTTTCTACAATGTTTGAATGTTTAGCACCGCCCCCCAGCTCGCTCACAGGCTTCTCATTTCACCTACGCTCTCATAACACGGAGCCACCTAGTTTTATTTGCGATCTGATACATATGCTAACATTAGCATTAGCGTAACTTGTAAGCTGTGCAACAATCACTGATGAAATGGCACTAAAGCAATGCACTGCTAACACAATATATAAGTAAAAGAATACGTTTCGCGTCCGGATGTATTAATTTAAACATTAGAATATATTCTAATATTTAATTATAATTTATTATACAGCTCCTCACAGCAGCAGTAGAACACTCCATTGACTTGAATGCAATTCTTCCGATCATTTTTTCTTGATAACAGAACTCTCAAACCAATAATGACCGCAGCCCCAATGCAATCTCTGTTTGTAATTCAGGTGTGTAAAATACTGCCATTACTTTGCAAGTACAACAAGCTATCAGCGCCTGTCACTACATTGTGCAGTTTTCTGCACACTTGTCTGTGTAGAGAAGCTAGCGGAGCTAGCCACGCTCAATAAACAAATACATATCAATCAATCAACACCATTAAACGTCAATCGGACAATACAGTATACAGATACATCCTTAACACACATGCACGGACGATTTCAGAATTTGCTGTCAACGTTTTCATGACAAAAATACTGTTTTAAAGTGACAAAAAGCGATCGCGAAAAACCCGGAAGTTACCATGAAACAGCTAGCTAGCTTAGCTGTTACCTGCCTAGCACGTCCCGGTGAAACCTTTGGGAGCTAACTATTTTATTTGCAGTCATTAAATACATTTCTAATTATAAGGGTTGTCTAATATTTGTTCAAATATGTATATATTTTTTATTTTAGAATTATATTAAAATTTTGAAGTCGAAGCCCTGGTGTTAAGCAGCGCTGTAGAGGCTAGAGGACGCAGGCTGGTCGCTGCTCGTTCTGTGAGCGGAGGAGAACGAGCGGCCCGCTCAGACTATACTCAGCACTTTTCACTGCCTGAATTTCATACACAGTGGAATCAATGACCTCAAGTTTTCAATTAAATTATGTATTATGATACAACTTGTATGTAGTAAAAAGCATTTTTATGAACTACTTAGAAAAAAAATCGGGTATAGCTTCTTTAAGCCCTTCACATCATTATTCCTTCACGCCAAACACAATGGTGATAAAATACTATTACAGCCACAGCTGCCCTGGGGCACACTGACAGAAGCGAGGCAACCCGTCTGCGCCATCAGCCCCTCCCACCACCACCAACCACTCACACACACCAGACTCATTCTAATGTGGGGGAAGTGTCTTGCCTAAGGACATAACCACAGTTTGGCACTTTACAGCCGCAGCCGCCGCACTGTGGCACCTGCTGCTCCCAGAGGTCTCCCATCACAGCATTAACCAGGCCCTGTCCTACACAGCTTCAGAGGTCTGACAGGATCTGGCTTTCACCTGCAGGGGGCGCCACACTCACCGTCTCTGGTCTCCTTTTGGTGTCGGGTTCAGTGTCAGGGAAACAGAGCTTGATAACGGCATTGGAGGACTGACGCATGACCTGAGGAAGGCCATGAATGAACAGAGATTACTTAACTTAAAATCAACTTTAGAAATAGATTCTGATTATAAATACACAAACAGAAGTGACAACACAAAGACAAAATACCTCTTTTCCAGTGCGATACAACAGGTCATTATTTTTGTCCAAGAATCCTTTGGCAAAAATATATTACACATTAGTTTTTGGCAACAACAAAAAACATATGATAAAGACGTTTTACTTCCTCATTTCCTGATTTAAAATGGGAAATAATGGAACTGTAACGTATCAGTGTGTAACTCCCTCTGCCACCACCAGAGGACGCTGCAAACACAGGACCGTAAAGAGCATTTCACCTGAGAAAAATCTACACTAATTCATGCACAATATTTTTGTTTTAGGGCAAAAGACTGCAATGAGTGTGGTATTATACTGGTCTCTCTCTGGTCTCTATGGTCTCTCACCAGTATCTCTTTCTGGTCTCTATGGTCTCTCTCCAGTATCTCTTTCTGGTCTCTATGGTCTCTCTCCAGTATCTCTTTCTGGTCTCTATGGTCTCTCTCCAGTATCTCTTTCTGGTCTCTATGGTCTCTCTCCAGTATCTCTTTCTGGTCTCTATGGTCTGTCTCCAGTATCTCTTTCTGGTCTCTATGGTCTGTCTCCAGTATCTCTTTCTGGTCTCTATGGTCTGTCTCCAGTCTCTATGGTCTCTCTCCAGTATCTCTTTCTGGTCTCTATGGTCTCTCTCCAGTATCTCTTTCTGGTCTCTATGGTCTGTCTCCAGTATCTCTTTCTGGTCTCTATGGTCTGTCTCCAGTATCTCTTTCTGGTCTCTATGGTCTGTCTCCAGTCTCTATGGTCTGTCTCCAGTCTCTATGGTCTGTCTCCAGTCTCTATGGTCTGTCTCCAGTCTCTATGGTCTGTCTCCAGTCTCTCTCTTGTCTCTGGTTTCCTACTCTACTCTACTCTACTCTACTCTACTCTACTCTACTCTACTCTACTCTACTCTACTCTACTCTACTCTACTCTACTCTACTCTACTCTACTCTACTCTACTGTATTCTACTCTACTCTACTCTTCCCTGATAGTGAGTGTGTCCTCTGATCCTGTGTAACCAGTACCAGGTCCTTCTTTAGTCCCTCTTGGTCCTGGTTCTATCCAGGCCGAGCTGGTACTATAGTATTTTAACTGACATTGATTAGCCAGAGCGCTGCTGGAAGCCATGGTTACCAAGGAATTTCCACAGATACTGGTCTGTTGTGGGGAGGTTACTAGGATACGGTACCAGAAACTAAAGCGGAATGGAAACACAACCAGGTAGAGTAGAGTAGAGTATTGCAGAGTATTGTATTGTAGAGTAGAGTAGAGTAAAGTAGAGTAGAGTAGAGTAGAGTAGATTATTGCAGAGTAGAGTATTGTGGAGTAGAGTATTGTATTGTAGAGTAGAGTAGAGTAGAGTAGAGTAGAGTAGAGTAGAGTAGAGTAGAGTAGAGTAGAGTAGAGTAGAGTAGAGTAGAGTAGAGTAGAGTAGAGTACATACAGATACTTCAGTTCTCTCACCTACGACACAGTAGGTGACCTCTCCAGCGTAGTGCAGGAGTCTGAAGTCTCCTCGTTCCAGGGTCTTTCTGGTCTTGGGATTGGCCAGTTTGTGTCTGCGGCGCCGAGAACACGTCACGCTCCACTTTACTCTCACTTTACTCTCCCAAACACGACCTTTTACTCACGTGACGAAGTGAGGGTGGTCTCCGATCTCTTCCTCCATCTTTTCTAGGAACGTGAGGTCTGTGGCTTCTCCTGGACGCAAGCATTCCTCATCCTGGAAAACACACCAATGGTGCTAACAGTGCTAATATGCTAGCTCAATGTAGACCAATAGGGAAGTGCTCAGGTTGAAGTTTGGCTCCAATTCACTCTGGTTCCTACTCCTTTTACATGTGAACTTCAGTGAACTTCAGATCAAAGTGAACTGTGAACATTTTGGGCTAAGAGGGAGACCCGAGAGAGACCAGAGAGAGACCAGAGAGGGAGACCATAGAGAGACCAGAGAGAGACCAGAGAGAGAGACCAGAGAGAGACCAGAGAGGGAGACCAGAGAGGGAGACCAGAGAGAGACCAGAGAGGGAGACCATAGAGAGACCATAGAGAGACCAGAGAGGGAGACCAGAGAGGGAGACCATAGAGAGACCATAGAGAGACCAGAGAGAGACCAGAGAGAGACCAGAGAGGGAGACCAGAGAGAGATCAGAGAGAGACCAGTGATAGAAAAAAAATCTGTGGTTTAGTGCTCTCTGTAATCCAGTTGTTTATGTTGTGATTTTTAAATCCAGATATGAGTCAGATCAGGATTGACCAATGAGATGCCTTCATTCACAGGGAAACACCAGCCTGACTTAGTTACCGTCGTAGCAACAAGTCTGTTACGGCGCAAAGCTAATGCTATGTAATGCTATGTAACATGTGTCCATATAAGGAAGCTGATAGAGATCACCACACTGTGGTGATGTCACGCTGTGGTGATGTCACACTGTGGTGATGTCACACTGTGGTGATGTCACACTGTGGTGATGTCACACTGTGGTGAGTATGTACCAGCAGAGAGATGATCCCCTGGTGCTTGGCCTCCACCAGATCACAGATGATTTTGTTGTTGAAATACGGCACTGGTTCCCACTGCACAGAAACACACATCAGAACTTCAACTACACACACATCTGCTACACAAACAGCCACGACACAACAGCCCCAACAGCCACACATGCTGTTGTGTTGTGGCTGTTGTGGAGCAGAAGGGCAAAAGCTTGATCTTGATTTTCAGTATGAATAGATCCTTCTGACTCTTTGGGTTTTAAGCAGGAGGTGTCAGAAAAGTTAGCACAGGGATAACTGGCTTGTGGCGGCCAAGCGTTCATGGCGACGTCGCTTTTTGATCCTTGGATGTAGCTCTTCCTGTCATTGCGAAGCAGAATTCACCAAGCGTTGGATTTTTCACGCACTGACGGGGAACGTGAGCTGGGTTTAGACCGTCGTGAGGTTAGTTTTACTGATGATGTGTTGTTGCAATAGTAATCCTATTACTACAGCCACACATGCTGTTGTGTCGTGGCTGTTGTGTAGTGGCTGTTGTGTCGTGGCTGTTGTGTCGTGGCTGTTGTGTAGTGGCTGTTGTGTCGTGGCTGTTGTGTAGTGGCTGTTGTGTGGTGGCTGTTGTGTCGTGGCTGTTGTGTAGTGGTTGTTGTGTGGTGGCTGTTGTGTGGTGGCTGTTGTGTCGTGGCTGTTGTGTAGTGGCTGTTGTGTGGTGGCTGTTGTGTGGTGGCTGTTGTGTGGTGGCTGTTGTGTAGTGGCTGTTGTGTAGTGGCTGTTGTATAGTGGCTGTTGTGTCGTGGCTGTTGTGTCGTGGCTGTTGTGTAGTGGCTGTTGTGTCGTGGCTGTTGTGTAGTGGCTGTTGTGTAGTGGCTGTTGTGTAGAGTGTGTGTCAGAGATCTCGCCTCGATGCCTTCAATCTCGTATTCTTCTTGTTCAGATTTCAGAGTGAGTTCGATGAAAAGCTGCTGCAGTTTCTCGTTGCAGTAGTTTATGCAAAACTGTTCAAAACTGAAACAAAAGAAAAGTTCATGAGTGGCAGGCATGGCAGCTGGCGACCGTGGTCAGGCGTGGTCAGGTGTGGCGGCCGTGGTCAGGTGTGGTCAGGTGTGGCGGCCGTGGTTAGGTGTGGCGGCTGTGGTTAGGTGTGGCGGCTGTGGTCAGGTGTGGCGGCCGTGGTTAGGTGTGGCGGCCGTGGTTAGGTGTGGCGGCTGTGGTCAGGTGTGGCGGCCGTGGTTAGGTGTGGCGGCCGTGGTTAGGTGTGGCGGCCGTGGTCAGGTGTGGCGGCCGTGGTCAGGTGTGGTTAGGTGTGGCGGCTGTGGTCAGGTGTGGCGGCCGTGGTTAGGTGTGGCGGCCGTGGTTAGGTGTGGCGGCCGTGGTCAGGTGTGGCGGCCGTGTTCAGGTGTGGCGGCCGTGGTCAGGTGTGGCGGCCGTGGTTAGGTGTGGCGGCCGTGGTCAGGTGTGGCGGCCGTGTTCAGGTGTGGCGGCCGTGTTCAGCTGTGGCGGCCGTGGTCAGGTGTGGCGGCCGTGGTCAGGTGTGGCGGCTGTGGTCAGGTGTGGCGGCCGTGGTTAGGTGTGGCGGCCGTGGTTAGGTGTGGCGGCCGTGGTCAGGTGTGGCGGCCGTGTTCAGGTGTGGCGGCCGTGGTCAGGTGTGGCGGCCGTGGTTAGGTGTGGCGGCCGTGTTCAGGTGTGGCGGCCGTGGTTAGGTGTGGCGGCCGTGGTTAGGTGTGGCGGCCGTGGTCAGGTGTGGCGGCCGTGTTCAGGTGTGGCGGCCGTGTTCAGCTGTGGCGGCCGTGTTCAGGTGTGGTCAGGTGTGGCGGCCGTGGTCAGGTGTGGCGGCCGTGGTCAGGTGTGGCGGCCGTGGTCAGGTGTGGCGGCCGTGGTCAGGTGTGGCGGCCGTGGTTAGGTGTGGTCAGGTGCGGCGGCCGTGGTCAGGTATGGCGGCCGTGGTCAGGTGTGGTCAGGTGTGGCGGCCGTGGTCAGGTGTGGCGGCCGTGGTCAGGTGTGGCGGCCGTGGTTAGGTGTGGCGGCTGTGGTCAGGTGTGGCGGCCGTGGTTAGGTGTGGCGGCCGTGGTCAGGTGTGGTCAGGTGTGGCGGCCGTGGTCAGGTGTGGCGGCCGTGGTCAGGTGTGGCGGCCGTGGTCAGGTGTGGCGGCCGTGGTCAGGTGTGGCGGCCGTGGTCAGGTGTGGCGGCCGTGGTTAGGTGTGGCGGCCGTGGTTAGGTGTGGCGGCTGTGGTCAGGTGTGGCGGCCGTGTTCAGCTGTGGCGGCCGTGGTCAGGTGTGGCGGCCGTGGTCAGGTGTGGCGGCTGTGGTCAGGTGTGGCGGCCGTGATTAGGTGTGGCGGCCGTGGTTAGGTGTGGCGGCCGTGGTCAGGTGTGGCGGCCGTGTTCAGCTGTGGCGGCCGTGGTCAGGTGTGGCGGCCGTGGTCAGGTGTGGCGGCTGTGGTCAGGTGTGGCGGCCGTGGTTAGGTGTGGCGGCCGTGGTTAGGTGTGGCGGCCGTGGTCAGGTGTGGCGGCCGTGTTCAGGTGTGGCGGCCGTGGTCAGGTGTGGCGGCCGTGGTCAGGTGTGGCGGCCGTGGTTAGGTGTGGCGGCCGTGGTTAGGTGTGGCGGCCGTGGTCAGGTGTGGCGGCCGTGTTCAGGTGTGGCGGCCGTGTTCAGCTGTGGCGGCCGTGTTCAGGTGTGGTCAGGTGTGGCGGCCGTGGTCAGGTGTGGCGGCCGTGGTCAGGTGTGGCGGCCGTGGTCAGGTGTGGCGGCCGTGGTCAGGTGTGGCGGCCGTGGTTAGGTGTGGTCAGGTGTGGCGGCCGTGGTCAGGTGTGGTCAGGTGTGGCGGCCGTGGTCAGGTGTGGCGGCCGTGGTCAGGTGTGGCGGCCGTGGTTAGGTGTGGCGGCTGTGGTCAGGTGTGGCGGCCGTGGTCAGGTGTGGTCAGGTGTGGCGGCCGTGGTCAGGTGTGGCGGCCGTGGTCAGGTGTGGTCAGGTGTGGCGGCCGTGGTCAGGTGTGGCGGCCGTGGTCAGGTGTGGCGGCCGTGGTCAGGTGTGGCGGCCGTGGTCAAGTGTGGCGGCCGGTCAGGTGTGGCGGCCGTGGTCAGGTGTGGCGGCCGTGTTCAGGTGTGGCGGCCGTGGTCAGGTGTGGCGGCCGTGGTCAGGTGTGGCGGCCGTGTTCAGGTGTGGCGGCCGTGTTCAGGTGTGGCGGCCGTGTTCAGGTGTGGCGGCCGTGTTCAGGTGTGGCGGCCGTGGTCAGGTGTGGCGGCCGTGTTCAGGTGTGGCGGCCGTGGTCAGGTGTGGCGGCCGTGGTCAGGTGTGGCGGCCGTGGTCAGGTGTGGCGGCCGTGGCAGGAGCCTGACTTCTGTCGTTGTGTAAAACTCACCTGTTCACACTGAAAACCTCAAATCCATAAATGTCCAATAATCCAATTACAGTTTTTCTGGAGGAATCCTGAGGAACAGACGGAATCTTTCAAAGTCGAATGTTTAAACTAAAGATCATTTCATAAAAATAATAACAGCACATTTAGAGTTCCAAATCTGAGCAGTCACATTGACTGCTCTGGATCAAACATTAAAACAGCATCTGTAACTTTTTACTAACGACTCGTACCTGGTTTGGTAACGACTCGTACCTTGTTTGCTAACGACTCGTACCTTGTTTGCTAACGACTCGTACCTGGTTTGGTAACGGCTCGTACCTTGTTTGCTAGCGACTGGTACCTTGTTTGCTAACGACTGGTACCTTGTTTTCTAACGACTGGTACCTTGTTTGCTAGCGACTCGTACCTTGTTTGCTAGCGAGTGGTACCTTGTTTGCTAACGGCTCGTACCTTGTTTGCTAGTGACTCGTACCTTGTTTGCTAGTGACTCGTACCTTGTTTGCTAACGACTGGTACCTTGTTTGCTAGCGACTCGTTGACCTTGTTGACAACCCAGTTAAAGGTGCGTCCGTACACAGCTTTGGAGAGAGCGTCTCGAGCGAAGACTGCATGTTCCACTGAGAAGGGACTGTGCACCTGCACCATGTGACAAAAAGCACACCATGTGACATCAATCAGACCATGTGACATCAACCACACCAGTAGAGTAGCGCAGAGCAGAGCAGAGTAGATCAGAACCTCCTCAGTCTTGGTCTGGATCTTCTTGTGTGTCAGTCCGTGTTGAAGCACAGGAGCTGGGACTCCGAGCAGCTGCAGCACAAACAGCATTTGGGTTATTTTAATTATTGTAGCATTATTCTACATTTGTGAGAGAGAGACCAGAGAGAGACAAAAAAGAGACCAGAGAGATCAGAGAGAGACCAGAACGATCAGAGAGAGACCAGAGCGAGACCAAAGAGAGATCAGAGAGAGACCAGAGCGAGACCAAAGAGAGATCAGAGAGAGACCAGAGAGAGACCAGAGAGAGACCAGAGAGAGACCAGAGAGAGACCAGAGAGACCAGAGAGAGACCAGAGAGAGACCAGAGAGAGACCAGAGAGACCAGAGAGAGACCAAAGAGAGATCAGAGAGAGACCAGAGAGAGACCAGAGAGAGACCAGAGAGAGACCAGAGAGAGACCAGAGAGACCAGAGAGAGACCAGAGAGAGATCAGAGAGAGACGAGAGAGACCAGAGAGAGACCAGAGAGAGACCAGAGAGAGACCAGAGAGAGATCAGAGAGAGATCAGAGAGAGACCAGAGAGAGACCAGAGAGAGACCAGAGAGAGACCAGAGAGAGACCAGAGAGAGACCAGAGAGAGATCAGAGAGAGACCAGAGAGAGACCAGAGAGAGACCAGAGAGAGACCAGAGAGAGATCAGAGAGAGACCAGAGAGAGACCAGAGAGAGATCAGAGAGAGACCAGAGAGAAACCAGAGAGAGACCAGAGAGAGACCAGAGAGAGATCAGAGAGAGACCAGAGAGAGACCAGAGAGACCAGAGAGAGATCAGAGAGAGACCAGAGAGAGACCAGAGAGAGACCAGAGAGAGACCAGAGAGAGATCAGAGAGAGACCAGAGAGAGACCAGAGAGAGACCAGAGAGAGATCAGAGAGAGACCAGAGAGAGATCAGAGAGAGACCAGAGAGAGACCAGAGAGAGACCAGAGAGAGACCAGAGAGAGATCAGAGAGAGACCAGAGAGAGACCAGAGAGAGACCAGAGAGAGACCAGAGAGAGATCAGAGAGAGACCAGAGAGAGACCAGAGAGAGACCAGAGAGAGATCAGAGAGAGACCAGAGAGAGACCAGAGAGAGACCAGAGAGAGATCAGAGAGAGACCAGAGAGAGACCAGAGAGAGATCAGAGAGAGACCAGAGAGACCAGAGAGAGACCAGAGAGAGACCAGAGAGAGACCAGAGAGAGACCAGAGAGAGACCAGAGAGAGACCACAGAGAGATCAGAGAGAGATCAGAGAGAGACCAGAGAGAGACCAGAGAGAGACCAGAGAGAGACCAGAGAGAGACCAGAGTACCTTGGAGACCCAGTGGATCTGCTGACAGTTGTTCAGAGCGGCGTATCCCTGAGGACCAGCTTCAAATGTAATGTTCCCCAAATGCAGAACACTGGCAATGATCGCAAACAGGTTCTGGATGTGGAAGAGAAATGTATTTGTGAAAAGATGTACAACATATAAATTATTATTGTCTTTTTCTTTAGCTAGAGAGACAGACCAGAGAGAGAGACTTGAGCGTGAGACTAGAGAGACAGATCAGAGAGACCAGAGCGAGGGACCAGAGCGAGACCGACCACAGATGGAGACTAGCGTGAGTCTAGGGAGACAGACCTGAAAGAGACCAGAGAGAGAAATTTTAGAGAGAGACCAAAGACAGACTAGAGCGAGACTAGAGAGACAGACCAGAGAGAGAGACTTGAGCGTGAGACCAGCGTGACAGACCAGAGAGAGAGCCCAGAGCGAGAGACCAGAGAGAGAGAGACTGGAGAGAGAGACTAGAGTGAGACTAAAGTGAGACCAGAGAGAGAGAAAATCCATAGATTATCATTCTCTGTGATCCTGGTGTTTATATTGAGATATTGTCTTTGTAGATTCAGATATGAGTCGATACAACCGACCAATAAGAGGCCTTCATTCACAGAGTAATCTCCAGTTTGCCTTAGCAACCTCCATAACAACACGTCTGCGTCTGTTACAGCATTAAGCTAACGCCATCAGCACAAATGACCATATAAGGAAACACTGTGGTGATGTCACACTTGTTTCTCTCTGCACCTGTAAACTGTTGCTCACCTCGATGTCATTGTCGCTGAACTCGATCACAGACAGAGCGTTGCGGACCGTTCTCCAGTCGCTTTTGTCGTTGATGGAGCTGACTCTGGGACAGTTTCCCTGAACGACACAGAAACACAAACACATCTCTGTCGTGGTGTCACAGCGTTAGTTAGCATGTGCGGCTAAGCTAGTCAACATTGTGCATTTCTGATCCAGCTTTGTATTTAAAGTAGTACTAGAATTTAATATTCTGCTATCCAGAATATATAACTACAATATGTGTTTATAATATTTTGGGTGTTCATTTTGATATGTTCAGATGAATTATGTTAAAAAAAACTGCTTTGAAGTGGCACCTTTTCACTTCCGCATAGAAACGCTAGGGGGCGCCAAAATGGCGGCGATGACGTAGGAGAAGGACATCTCACAGCAGCAGCAGCAGTCTGGGCTGAATCTGTAGGAGGTTTCACTGTCATCTGAACAAGGTATAAACATATTTTCATCCGTTTTGTACATAATAGTGTGCAACTATTTTAACCTTTTAGCCTTATTTGTGAGACTCAAGCTAATTAGTGTTGGGCAAGTTAGCTAACTCTACTTGATATCCTAAAAGATGCTTACAAGGCTAATATTCGTTTTTACATTATGCCAGTCTCACTTTGGTTGCCTTAGATTTATTTACCACAATATACATTGTAATATCCATAAATGCTAATCAAAATAACTTGAATTAAATAAATATTTTACTTTTATTTAACAAAAATCTGCAGAAGTTGAAAACATAGACTACATGTGATGCAATCATTGATAAAAATGCTAATTAAACCGTTAATAGGTGTTAGCATTTATGGATATTACAATGTACATTGTGGTAAATAAATCTAAGGCAACCAAAGTGAGACTGGCACAATGTAAAAACGAATATTAGCCTTGTTAGCTAACTCTACTTGATATCATAAAACATGCTAATTTGCCCAACACTAATTAGCTTGAATCTCACAAATAAGGCTAAAAGGTTAAAAGAGTATTATGTACAAAACGGATGAAAATATGTTTATACCTTGTTCAGATGACAGTGAAACCTCCTACAGATTCAGCCCAGACTGCTGCTGCTGCTGTGAGAGGTCCCTCTCCTACGTCATCGCCGCCATTTTGGCGCCCCCTAGCGTTTCTATACGGAAGTGAAAAGGTGCCACTTCAAAGCAGTTTTTTTAACATAATTCATCTGAACATGGCAAAATGAACACCCGAAATATTATAAACACATATTGTAGTTATATATTCTGGATAGCAGCATATTAAATTCTAGTATTACTTTAAGCTTTAAAGTAATGTATGGACTAACTTTCCATGTAATTTCAGCCACTGTAAAGGACTGAGGCTGTAGATCCAGAACTGAGGCTGTAGACCCAGGACTGAGGCTGTAGATCCAGGACTGAGGCTGTAGATCCAGGACTGAGGCTGTATATCCAGGGCTGAGACTATAAATCCAGGACTGAGGCTGTATATCGAGAACTGAGGCTGTAGATCCAGGACTGAGGCTGTATATCCAGAACTGAGGCTGTAGATCCAGGGCTGAGACTATAAATCCAGGACTGAGGCTGTATATCCAGAACTGAGGCTGTAGATCCAGGACTGAGGCTGTAGATCCAGGACTGAGGCTGTAGATCCAGGACTAAGGCTGTAGATCCAGGACTGAGGCTGTAGACCCAGGACTGAGGCTGTAGATCCAGGACTGAGACTGTAGATCCAGGACTGAGGCTGTAGACCCAGGACTGAGGCTGTAGACCCAGGACTGAGGCTGTAGATCCAGGACTGAGGCTGTAGATCCAGGACTGAGGCTGTATATCCAGAACTGAGGTTGTAGATCCAGGGCTGAGACTATAAATCCAGGACTGAGGCTGTATATCCAGAACTGAGGCTGTAGATCCAGGACTGAGGCTGTATATCCAGAACTGAGGCTGTAGATCCAGGGCTGAGACTATAAATCCAGGACTGAGGCTGTATATCCAGAACTGAGGCTGTAGATCCAGGACTGAGGCTGTAGACCCAGGACTAAGGCTGTAGATCCAGGACTGAGGCTGTAGATCCAGGACTGAGGCTGTAGACCCAGGACTGAGACTGTAGATCCAGGACTGAGGCTGTAGACCCAGGACTGAGGCTGTAGACCCAGGACTAAGGCTGTAGACCCAGGACTGAGGTGTGTTACCTGCATGAGGTAAGCGTAGGCCTGGCAGTCCCTCTCCAGCCCCAGCCACCGCAGCAGCTCCTCCTCTCCGCCCTGCACCAGTTGGTAGAAGATGTGGAAGTTTCTCTCTCCGTGATTCTGATGAACCACACGTGACTTTTCCAGAAGGTAACTGAGGATGTGACCCCCCACAGCCCGCCCCTGAAACACAACACATACATTAGATTGTACCTGCAGGTGAAAGACAGATCCTGTCAGACCTGAACTTGGTCTTGCCCAAGGTTGTGTCCTTGGGCAAGACACTTCCCCCACATTAGAATGAGTGTCCTGGAAATCCTTCGTCAAGATTCCTCCATTCTCTCAATGTTCAAATGAAAATTAGCATAAAGTTTATGTTTTTTTGTAATTCAAGAGAAACCAATAAATTGTATGGACCAGAGGTTTTCTAAATAGTAAAACTGGTGTGACTGGATTTAAAAAGAGAGACAAGAGAGACCAGAGAGAGATCACAGAGAGACCACAGAGAGACCACAGAGAGACCACAGAGAGACCAGAGCATGTCCAGAGAAAAACCAGAGAGAGAGCTGTGAGAGACCAGAGAGAGACCAGACCTGTGAGAGACCAGAGAAGAGGGACCAGAAGGAGAGACCTGAGAGAGGCCAGAGATACCAGCAAAAGAGACCAGCGAGAGAGGCCTAAGAGAGAGAGAAAGACCAGTTAGCTGAGGGAGCAACCGGCGACAGAGCAGAGAGAGACCAGTTAGCCGTGGACCAGAGATCTTGGTGTTGTTACCTGGTGATCGAACTGTATATCCATGTACTTCCCAAAGCGGCTTGAGTTGTCATTCTTCAGTGTTTTTGCATTTCCAAAAGCCTGGAAGGTTGAATGCAAATATAATAATCATAAAATATGAGGGACAGAACAGAATAATAGTAGATGTAAGCTAGTCCCTGGTTTAGCACAGGGGTGATGTGTTCTAAAACAATAAGGCATATGCTCTCACCACCTGAACTCACCAGAGAGACTAGAGAAAGACCAGAGAGAGACCAAAGCGAGAGAGAGCAGAGAGAGAGAGACTAGACAGATTAAAGAGAGAGCAGAGAGAGACCAGAGGGACTAGAAAGAGAGAGAGACAAGAGAGAGACCAGAGAGAGACTATAGAGACCAGCGAGAGACCAAGAAGAGACCAAATAGAGAGACTAGAGAGAGACCAGAGAGAGACCATTGTATTTTTTGAGTATACACATGACACATAATAAGCACACTGTAAAAAAATAAAAATCACAAAAATCCAGTAAACAGTGGAAAAAGAGAAGGATCAGTGTGTTCATCCTGCAGAGGGGTGGGCTGCCACTGACCTCCAGCACCGGGTTGGACAGAAGAAGGCGGTCCCTGATGTTGCAGAGCAGTGCGGTGCTGGGGCAGCTCACGGCGTAGAACTGAAGGATCTTCTTTGACGCTTCGGTTTTTCCAGATCCACTTTCTCCAGAAATCAGGATGAAGTGATTATTGAACTCAGAGAGCATCGTACGGAAGGCGTTATCTGCCAGGGCATAACTGCAACACACACAGAGAGAGACACACACACACACAGAGACACACACAGAGAGAGAGAGAGAGACACACACACACAGAGAGACACACACACAGAGAGAGATAGAGAGATACACAACACACACACAGAAAGAGAAAGACAAACACACACAGAGTCACACACATACACACAGAGAGAGACACACACACACAGAGAGACACGCACACAGAGATAGAGACACCCACACAGAGACACACACAAAGAGAGATAGAGAGAGACACAACACACACAGAAAGAGAAAGACAAACACACAGAGTCACAAACATACAGTACACACAGGAACACACAGAGACAGAGAAACACACCAACAGTGAAGCAAACACACACACAGAGAGACATCCAGAAACACACATGGAAACAAACAAAGAGAGATACACAAACACACCCACACAGACCCACACACACAGAGATACACACACACACACACACAATTATACAAATCCTCATTTCCACCAGCTCTACTCTACTCTGGTCCTGTTAAACCAGTCCCGTGTCATTCTTTGGTCCCTGTTGATCCTGGTTCTATCCGGGCCAAGATGGTACACACACACACACGCACACACAGACACACACACACTCACATATGCGGCGGGAGCTCAAAGAAGTTCACTCCCATGTAGATGTCCATCTGCTTCTGACCGAACACATCCAGCTCTTTGTAAGGATTCACAGAGACCAGAAGAGTCCCGATGTATGTCTGCACACACACACACACACATACACATACACACACACATACACAGACACACACACAACACACACACAGAGAGACACACACACACACAAAGATACAACACACAGACAGACAGACAATCAAAATACATCCTTTTCTTCTGAATCTGGTCCGGAGAGAGATGAGACCAGAAAGAGACCAGAGAGAAACCAGAGAGAGACCAGAGAGAGGCAAGAGAGAGACCAGAGAGAGACCAGAGAGAGACCAGAGAGAGACCAGAGAGAGACCAGAGAAAGACCAGAGAGAGACCAGAGAGAGACCAGAGAGAGACCAGAGAGAGAGACCAGAGAGAGACCAGAGAGAGTAGAGATCTAGCCTGAGAACAATAACCGATTTACAACGAGCAGAGATGAGCCTCACATAGATGAGGTTTTCGTGGAAGCGTTTCCGAAGGTTGTCCAAGAAGGCCGTCTCACTGGTGTAGGCGTCCAGCAAGACAAAGTCCTGGATCCCAACCCGGTCCCGAGCAGTCAAAGAGGCCTCCATGTTCCTCAGGATCCGGGTGCAGCGCTGGTCCAGACTCTAGGAATGACGAAGGATCAGGATTCACCGTCAGAAGTCCTCTCTGGGTCTCAGTCCTCTCTGGGTCTCAGTCCCCTCTGGGCCTCAGTGCTCTCTGGGTCTCAGTCCTCTCTGGGCCTCAGTCTTCTCTGGGTCTGTCCTCTCTGGGTCTCAGTCCTCTCTGGGTCTCGGTCCTCTCTGGGTCTCTGCCCTCTCTGGGTCTCAGTCCTCTCTGGGCCTCAGTCTTCTCTGGGTCTGTCCTCTCTAGGTCTCAGTCCTCTCTGGGTCTCAGTCCTCTCTGGGTCTCTGTCCTCTCTGGGCCTCAGTCTTCTCTGGGTCTCAGTCCTCTCTGGGTCTCAGTCCTTGGTCCTCAGAGACGTCCTACATCCTGTGGAGCGTATCTGTGTCCTTGCTTATATCCTCAAACAGGACAAGTCTAAATCCTGCTCTAATCTAATCTGCTTCCTAAAGTCATCCATCCACAAGTGCAGGAATAGTTTGGAGAAACAAGATTTATTACATTTAACTGAGGCAAAACTGAGACCTGAGAAAGACCTGAGAGGGACCAGAGAGGGACCAAAGAGAGACTAATGAGAGACCAGAGAGAGACAAGTGCCAGACTAGACAAAAGAGGGACCAGAGAGAGAGACTTGGGATCGGGGGCTGGAAGGCACCTATCCCTGTTAAAAAATACAATGTTAACTATATCTGATTTACACAGACATAAGCTGTTTCCTAGAGCCCTACTCTACTCTACTCTACTCTAAAATACTATGGTCGACTCTACTCTACAATACTCTACTCTACTCTACTCTAAAATACTATGGTCGACTCTACTCTACAATACTCTACAATACTCTACTCTACTCTACTCTACTCTAAAATACTATGGTCGACTCTACTCTACAACACTCTACTCTACTCTACTCTAAAATACTATGGTCGACTCTACTCTACAATACTCTACTCTACTCTACTCTAAAATACTATGGTCGACTCTACTCTACAATACTCTACTCTACTCTACTCTACTCTACTATGGTCGACTCTACTCTACTCTACTCTACTCTACTATGGTCGACTCTACTCTACTCTACTATGGTCGACTCTACTCTACAATACTCTAAAATACTATGGTCGACTCTACTCTATAATACTCTAAAATACTATGGTCGACTCTACTCTACTCTAAAATACTATGGTCGACTCTACTCTACTCTACTCTAAAATACTATGGTCGACTCTACTCTACTCTAAAATACTATGGTCGACTCTTCTCTACTCTAAAATACTATGGTCGACTCTACTCTACTCTAAAATACTATGGTCGACTCTACTCTACTCTAAAATACTATGGTCGACTCTACTCTACTCTACTCTAAAATACTATGGTCGACTCTACTCTACTCTACTCTACTCTAAAATACTATGGTCGAATCTACTCTACTCTACTCTGGTCGACTCTACTCTACTCTGGTCGACTCTACTCTAAAATACTATGGTCGACTCTACTCTACTCTACTCTGGTCGACTCTACTCTAAAATACTATGGTCGACTCTACTCTAAAATACTATGGTCGACTCTACTCTAAAATACTATGGTCGACTCTACTCTAAAATACTATGGTCGACTCTATTCTAAAATTCTATGGTCGACTCTACTCTAAAATACTATGGTCGACTCTACTCTAAAATACTATGGTCGACTCTACTCTAAAATACTATGGTCGACTCTACTCTAAAATACTATGGTCGACTCTACTCTAAAATACTATGGTCGACTCTACTCTAAAATACTATGGTCTACTCTACTCTACTGTACTCTACTCTAAAATACTCTACTCTACTCTAAAATACTATGGTCGACTCTACTCTACTCTAAAATACTATGGTCGACTCTACTCTACTCTACTCTAAAATACTATGGTCGACTCTACTCTACTCTACTCTACTCTACTCTAAAATACTATGGTCGACTCTACTCTACTCTACTCTGGTCGACTCTACTCTACTCTACTCTGGTCGACTCTACTCTAAAATACTATGGTCGACTCTACTCTACTCTACTCTGGTCGACTCTACTCTAAAATACTATGGTCGACTCTACTCTAAAATACTATGGTCGACTCTACTCTAAAATACTATGGTCGACTCTACTCTAAAATACTATGGTCGACTCTACTCTAAAATACTATGGTCGACTCTATTCTAAAATTCTATGGTCGACTCTACTCTAAAATACTATGGTCGACTCTACTCTAAAATACTATGGTCGACTCTACTCTAAAATACTATGGTCGACTCTACTCTAAAATACTATGGTCGACTCTACTCTAAAATACTATGGTCGACTCTACTCTAAAATACTATGGTCTACTCTACTCTACTCTACTCTACTCTAAAATACTCTACTCTACTCTAAAATACTATGGTCTACTCTACTCTACTCTAAAATACTCTACTCTACTCTACTCTACTCTAAAATACTATGGTCTACTCTACTCTAAAATACTCTACTCTACTCTACTCTACTCTAAAATACTCTACTCTACTCTAAAATACTATGGTCTACTCTACTCTACTCTAAAAAAACTCTACTCTACTCTACTCTAAAATACTATGGTCTACTCTACTCTAGTCTACTCTACTCTAAAATACTATGGTCTACTCTACTCTACTCTAAAATACTATGGTCTACTCTACTCTACTCTACTCTAAAATACTATGGTCTACTCTACTCTACTCTACTCTGGTCGACTCTACTCTAAAATACTATGGTCGACTCTACCCTACTCTGGTCGACTCTACTCTAAAATACTATGGTCGACTCTACTCTACTCTACTCTGGTCGACTCTACTCTACTCTACTCTGGTCGACTCTACTCTAAAATACTATGGTTGACTCTACTCTAAAATACTATGGTCTACTCTACTCTAGTCTACTCTACTCTACTCTAAAATACTATGGTCTACTCTACTCTACTCTAAAATACTATGGTCTACTCTACTCTACTCTACTCTAAAATACTATGGTCTACTCTACTCTACTCTACTCTGGTCGACTCTACTCTAAAATACTATGGTCGACTCTACCCTACTCTGGTCGACTCTACTCTAAAATACTATGGTCGACTCTACTCTACTCTACTCTGGTCGACTCTACTCTACTCTACTCTGGTCGACTCTACTCTAAAATACTATGGTTGACTCTACTCTAAAATACTATGGTCGACTCTACTCTAAAATACTATGGTCGACTCTACTCTAAAATACTATGGTCGACTCTACTCTAAAATACTATGGTCGACTCTACTCTAAAATACTATGGTGGACTCTACTCTAAAATACTATGGTCGACTCTACTCTAAAATACTATGGTCGACTCTACGCTAAAATACTATGGTCGACTCTACTCTAAAATACTATGGTCGACTCTACTCTAAAATACTATGGTCGACTCTACTCAAAAATACTATGGTCGACTCTACTCTAAAATACTATCGTCGACTCTACTCTAAAATACTATGGTCGACTCTACTCTAAAATACTATGGTCGACTCTACTCTAAAATACTATGGTCTACTCTACTCTACTCTAAAATACTCTACTCTACTCTAAAATACTATGGTCTACTCTACTCTACTCTACTCTAAAATACTCTACTCTACTCTACTCTAAAATACTATGGTCTACTCTACTCTACTCTAAAATACTCTACTCTACTCTAAAATACTATGGTCTACTCTACTCTACTCTACTCTAAAATACTCTACTCTACTCTACTCTAAAATACTATGGTCTACTCTACTCTACTCTACTCTAAAATACTATGGTCTACTCTACTCTACTCTACTCTGGTCGACTCTACTCTACTCTACTCTACTCTGGTCGACTCTACTCTAAAATACTATGGTCGACTCTACTCTACTCTGGTCGACTCTACTCTGAAATACTATGGTCGACTCTACTCTACTCTACTCTGGTCGACTCTACTCTACTCTACTCTGGTCGACTCTACTCTAAAATACTATGGTTGACTCTACTCTTAAAATACTATGGTCGACTCTACTCTAAAATACTATGGTCGACTCTACTCTAAAATACTATGGTCGACTCTACTCTAAAATACTATGGTCGACTCTACTCTAAAATACCATGGTCGACTCTACTCTAAAATACTATGGTCGACTCTACTCTAAAATACTATGGTCGACTCTACGCTAAAATACTATGGTCGACTCTACTCTAAAATACTATGGTCGACTCTACTCTAAAATACTATGGTCGACTCTACTCAAAAATACTATGGTCGACTCTACTCTAAAATACTACCGTCGACTCTACTCTAAAATACTATGGTCGACTCTACTCTAAAATACTATGGTCGACTCTACTCTAAAATACTATGGTCGACTCTACTCTAAAAGACTATGGTCCACTCTACTCTAAAATACTATGGTCTACTCTACTCTACTCTAAAATACTCTACTCTACTCTAAAATACTATGGTCTACTCTACTCTAAAATACTCTACTCTACTCTACTCTAAAATACTATGGTCTACTCTACTCTACTCTAAAATACTCTACTCTAAAATACTATGGTCTACTCTACTCTACTCTACTCTAAAATACTATGGTCGACTCTACTCTACTCTACTCTAAAATACTATGGTCGACTCTACTCTACAATACTCTACTCTACTCTACTCTACTCTACTCAACGATACCATACTCTATACTGTACTAAAGAAGGACCTGGTGCTGGTTTATTTATTAATTTGTTCACAAACATTAGTTAAATCCACATCTTTTACACTGTAGGTTTCTGACGGGACTCCCAAGAAGCTCAACTTGGACTAAATGTAGAGGATAACATTCACCCCACAGGTTACACAGGACCAGATCAGGGGAGAGTACTGTAGAGTAGAGTAGAGTAGGGCAGAGTAGAGTAGGGTATTGCGGACACAGTGTTATGATCTTAAGGTGAAAGTTAATACTGTTATAAGACACTCGGCTCTTTAATTACATCAACATCAGAGAGGTTTGTGTTTCAGCGCGTTGGCTTTGATCACAGCTCACTCACACAATGCTAACAATGCTAACCCGCTAGCACAGTAGGAAAGTGCTCATGGTGAAGTTTGGCTCTCTCTGGTTCCTGTTGATTTACATGTGAAAGTAAAGTGCTCTAGCTCAGTTATTGTTTGTCTCACACTCACCATTTGGGTTTAGAGAGAGACCAGAGAGAGTGAGACCAGAGAGAGAGAAACCAGAGAGAGAGGGAGAGACCAGAGAGAGAGAGACCAGAGAGAGAGAGAAACCAGAGAGAGAGAGAGAGAGAGACCAGAGAGAGAGAGAGACAGAGACCAGAGAGAGAGAGACCAGAGAGAGAGAAAGAGAGACCAGAGAGAGAGAGAGAGACCAGAGAGAGAGAAAGAGAGACCAGAGAGAGAGAGAGAGAGAGACCAGAAAGAGAGCGAGAGACATCAGAGAGAGAGAAAGAGAGACCAGAGAGAGAGACCAGAGAGAAAGACCAGCAAGAGACACATGAGATAGACCAGAAAGAGAGACCAGAGAAATGAATTAGAGAGAGACCAGCGGGAGAGAGAGACTAAGGAGACTAGGGAGAGACTGGAGATAGACCAGTGAGACCAGAGATAGATCAGATCTATGATCTCTGTGATCATATTGTGAGATGTTCGTTGTACATACAGACATGAGCCGTACGAGGACTGACCAATCAGAGGCCTTCAATCACACAGGAACATCTCTATCGCAGCAACATCGGTATTAATCCCAAACACACTGAATTCGAAGCCCCGTCTATCTGTCCCCACAGCTCCAGGGTCCGGTTACAGTCACTAAGTGGTCTCTCTCGTGCCTCTGACGGACACCTCACATCGCCCACGGCAACGGACCATTCAGACTGAAACCTGAGAGGACCCCCCTTCACCCCGGGGTTCCCAAACTGAGGTCCTGCTCCCCCCAGGGCCACACAGGAGTGTGTTTGTGATACACTACTGTACATTTAATAAAAAGAGTAAGTAAGTCATATTTATTTATATAGCACACTTCACAGTCCAAGGGACCCAAAGGGATTTTTATGGTGCTATCAGGTGTTGTGAAGTTACCAGGTGTTGTGTAGAGGGCAGAGAAGGGCTATAGTGAGACCTGAGAGAGACAAGAGAGATCTAAGAGAGAGACCCTAGAGAGACCAGAGGGAGAGGATATATGAGAGAGACAAGAGATCTAAGAGAGACCAGAGTGTGAGACCATAATAAGACCTGAGAGATTTGAGAGAGAGACCTGAGGAAGAGACCAGAGACAGACCATAGTGAGATCTGAGAGACAAAGACACTGTCCTCACCCTGCTCTCCCTCTGGTCTCTCTCTGGTCTCTGTCTGGTCCCTCTCTCTGGTTTCCTATTGGTCTCTCTCAGGTCTCACTCTGGTCTCTGTCTGGTCTCTCTCACTGGTCCCACTCTCGGCTCAACACCCGGTCGCACTTTTGTTATCACAGAAGCTCCTTGGGTCAAATCCCTGTCCAATTATAGCTGTCGGTCTTGTTGCCATGGAAACACTCTTTGTTAGCATCTGTCACCGTCAGTAGTATTCAGAATGATGTTTCTACAAGAGCACAAAAGTCATGTACCTCCTGCACTGTCAGCGCCCGATGAGTCATGGCTGAAGAAAGCTGGTGAGTTTATGTCCTCCCCTGAGAAATCCAAAGACTATTTCCTGGTTTAGATCCAGGACCGTGATCTCAGAGGGGTCCGGGGCCGAGATGTGTACCGCGGCTCCCCTGGTCTCTCTCTCTTGTTCCCGCTCTCTGGTCACTCTCTGGTCCGTCTGCTCTCTCTTTCTGTGGTCTAGTCTCTCCTTGCTCTCTCTCGTGTCTGTCCCTGGTCTCTCTCTGGTCACTCTCTGGTCTCTCTCTGGTCTCTCCCTGGTCCCTCCCTGGTCTCTCTCTGCTCTCTCCCTGCTCTCTCCCTGCTCTCTCTCTGGTGTCTCTCTGCTCTCTCTCTGGTCTTTCTCTGCTCTCTCCCTGCTCTTTCTCTGCTCTCTCTCTGGTCTCTCCCTGGTCCCTCCCTGGTCTCTCTCTGGTCTCTCTCTGCTCTCTCCCTGCTCTCTCCCTGCTCTCTCTCTGGTGTCTCCCTGGTATCTCTGTGGTCACTCTTTGGTCTCTCTCCGGTCTCTCTCTGGTCTCTCTCTGCTCTCTCCCTGCTCTCTCTCTGGTGTCTCCCTGGTCCCTCCCTGGTCTCTCTCTGATCTCTCTCCGCTCTCTCCCTGGTCTCTCTCTGCCCTCTCTGCTAATGAGGCTGTAATGAGCGATCCGGACCTGGAAGCAGCAGCGATGGTTAAACATTTATGGTGCACCAGCAGAGACGTGGGCCTCAGACCCGGTGCTGTATCGAGGCTAACACAAGGATGTGGAAACTGGATCCTGTGGAGACCCGTCCTCACTGCCGGCTCGCATTACTGATCTTTGATTAGGCAGATGCATTTCAAACTAATTACTAGCTGAGCATTAAAGCTAATGGGCATAAGGCAAGGCCAGTTTATCTGTATAGCACAGTCCATACACAAGGTTCAAAACAGAAACATCCAAGTCATAACCAATACAAAATATATACATTATAACGAGTGAAGATAAAATCCTTCTGTTGTTGCAGCGAAACAGAACGGTTTTAACCATAGACTGTAAATATTAACCTGGATTTGAACATTCTCAGAGAGGAAGCCTGTCTCACATTTTCTGAAAGACTGTTCCAGAATATAGCAAGGTAATTCTGAAACGCTAACTCCTCATATTTAGTCCTGACTCTGGGACCAGCAGGAGGCCAGTCCCTGTGCTCCTCAGAGTCCCAACAGTGACAGTAAGAAGGTTCAAGGCCCCAATAAGCATCAGGAGAGGGTTTAAAATGCAGTCAGGGGTTTTGTCCAGACGCATTATATAGATATTATGGGAAACGTCCCTAAACCCTATAAGTAGTCAAGTTATCATGTGTTTTCAAACATTAATGGAATTGACCTGATGTCTATAGTCTCCAAAAATTTATAAAAAATATTTTAGAGCGGACCGATAAAAATAAACCAATGGGATTTGTTCATATCCAACGAACCAATGGGATGTGTTTACCCCCTTCACCCTCTTCCTGTTTCTTCGAGTGCACCGGAGTTATCGGATTTTCTAAAACATAAAATGGCTGAACAGAAAATGCCAATTTCACGTTTGCTCCACTCTCCCTGTTGGGACAAAGGAAAGAAAATGCTGGATGTTTGGTTTGGTGGAGAGGGAGGGGAGCTGTTTGGAGTTTGTGCTACGGCTAAGCTAACAACATCACTTCCTGCACCTTTAAGGGAAAGTAAAAAAAGTGTAAAAGTGTAAAGTATAAGAACTAAACGGTAAGTGCGTCAGGTTTGGGCAGAGCGGCCGCAGGACCCGCCTCCTTATTCAGGGAGAGTCTGATTAAACTTTAAAGTGCTTCCTGTCCACATCAACAAAAGCCTCTCGTGTTTCTGCCTCGGCCCCGTGTGACATCAGAGACGGGAAAGCTGCATGTACCGAGGATTATGTGTTTTATGTGACGGCCTTTGTGTAAATATGAACAGGCGATCCTTGGATTACTGTGTCTCTGTCCCCATTCGCATGTTTACTGCCAAGGCAAGGTTATTTGTATAGCACAGTTTATACATAAGGCAACTCAAAGTGATGAACAAAACTACAAAACACTGTCCCTGTGCTCCTCAGAGACCCAGCAGGAGGCCAGTCCCTCTCTGGTAGCTCACTTTGGTCTCTCTCTCTGATCTCTCTCTGGTCTCTCTCTCTTATCTCTCTCTGGCCTCTCTCTGGTCTCGCTCACTGGTCTCCCTCACTGGTCTCTCTCTGGTCTCTCTCACTGGTTTCTCTCTCTGATCTCCCTCTGGTCTCTCTTTGGTATCTCCCTGAGGCCAGTCCCTGTGCTCCTCAGAGTCCCAGCAGGAGGCCAGTCCCTGTGCTCCTCAGAGTCCCAGCAGGAGGCCAGTCCCTGTGCTCCTCAGAGTCCCAGCAGGAGGCCAGTCCCTGTGCTCCTCAGAGTCCCAGCAGGAGTCCAGTCCCTGTGCTCCTCAGAGTCCCAGCAGGAGGAAAGTCCCTGAGATATACTTTGGTGCGAGGCCATGGAAAGACTCGTACATGATCTTTTCTCTGAACCATAGGAAGGAAGAGACCTGAGACCTGGATTGATGCGATGGTACTTCCTGGTTTAAGCTTGTTTGGAGAAACCAGTGAGCAGCAGCTGCAGGACTCTAAAACTAGAAACAAAAGCTGGAGATGAATCTGCAAGTCTGCTTTATACACTATATTTTTGATTCTAATGTTTCTTCAGGTGGTAACAAGCAGCTGCTGTTACTGGTGTGACGCTAACATTTAAGTAAAAACAATGGCGACTTCTTCGAGTTACAAGAGAACCGGATAAAACATCACAGCCATTAACGCCACACAACTAAACTTTCAACTTACTTATTCATGTGAGCAAAGCGATGCTTGTTTCTCGACCCGACAGGTCAAAGCAGAGCGTGGTTCCAATCATTTCACCACAACCAGAACGGTCTCTACCCCAAGTATCAGCCAAGGGTAACCACCGGAAAACAGAGACCAACACCACTAGGCAAGGCAAGGCAAGTTTATTTATATAGCACAATTCATACACAAGGCAACTCAAAGTGCTGAACAAAATAAGAAAGCATTAAAATCATAAATAATCACAGAACATTAAAAAGAAAGATAAAAATATAAAATCCCTCAGTTGTATGCACAGCTAAACAGAACTGTCTTTAACCTGGTTTTAAACATTGTCAGAGAGGAGGCCTGTCTCACATCTTCAGGAAGACTGTTCCAGATTTTATCAGCATGAATCTGAAAAGCAGCCTCCCCATGTTTAGTTCTGACTCTGGGCACTAACAGGAGTCTAGTCCCTGTGCTCCTCAGAGTCCGGGCTGGTTCATATGGGACTAACATGTCACTAATATATTTTGGTGCGAGGCCATGGAGAGACTTGTACACAAGCAGAGCTGTTTTAAAGTCTATTCTCTGAGCCACAGGAAGCCAGTGCAGAGACCTGAGGACTGGACTAATGTGGTCGTACTTCCTGGTTCTAGTCAGGACTCGAGCTGCTGCATTTTGAATGTACTGCAGCTGTTTTACAGCCTGTTTGGACAGACCTGTGAGCAGGCCATTGCAGTAGTCTAACCTACTGGAGACAAATGCATGGATAAGAATCTCCAGGTCTGCTTTAGACACTATGTTTTTGATCCTGGCAATGTTTTTTAGATGGTAAAAAGCTGCTGATGTTACTGATTTGATGTGGCTATTAAAATTTAAGTCTGAGTCCAGTATTACCCCTAGATTTCTGACCTTGTTTTGAAGGTTTTAGGGAGAGAGACTGTAGGTGACAGATGACGCTCTCTCTTTGTTTCTGGGGACCAAAGACAATCATTTCAGTTTTGCCTGTGTTTAGCTGAAGGAAGTTGTTTTGCATCCACTCACTGATCTGTTGGATACAGTGAAGGAGTGAGTCCACTGGTCCATGTTCTCCTGCAGTCAGTGAGACATAGATCTGAGTGTCCTCTGCATAGTTGTGATAGGACACTTTGTTTCTGCGTATTAACTGACCTAACGGCAGCATGTAGAGATTGAACAGAAGAGGTCCCAGGATCGACCCCTGTGGTACTCCACAGGTCAGGGCCATATGATCTGAGACACAGTTTCCAATCTCCACAAAGTACTTCCTGTCTTCAAGGTAAGACCTAAACCAACTCAGGGCGGTGCCAGCGATGCCAACCCAGTCCTCTAATCTCTATAAGAGAATCTCATGGTCGACGGTGTCAAAGGCAGGACTCAGATCTAACAGGATTAGGATTGAGACTTTGCCTGCGTCAGTGTTCAGCCGGATATCGTTTGTAACCTTGACGAGAGCAGTCTCAGTGCTGTGGTGGGGTCTAAAGCCGGACTGAAACATATCAAATGAGTTGTTGATTATAAGAAATCTAGTAAGCTGTAGGTAGACAACTTTCTCAAGGACTTTCCCCATAAATGGCAGATTTGAGATGGGACGATAGTTGTTAAGTACCGTAGCATCCAGACTGCTCTTTTTTAGCAGGGGCCTGATGACTGCAGTTTTCAGGGCCTTTGGGAATATTCCAGAATGAAGGGACATTTTTACAATCTGTGTGAGTGAAGGTAACAGACTGCCCAGAACAGACTTCAGAAATCTAGTGGGTAGTACATCCAGGCTGCATGTGGAGGAGCTCAGACTGGAGATTTTCTCTTGGACAGTTTGATCATTTACAGGTTATCTGTGGATGGGAGACAATGGCGTTTTTGATGCCTTGCGCCACTTCCGCTCGGCCCTCCGGCACTATATCAAATGTATACTATAGACTGTATACAGATGCACAATGCTAACACAGACTGTATAAGACAATACAACACAATTTATTCTTGTATAGCCCTAGGTCACAACAGAAGTCATCTCAGAGACTTAACAAAACCATTGAAATCACCAACACAGATCAGAGAATCAACAGGATCACCCTCCCTGTACAGGGAGGATTCAGATATTTTTCATTTAACAGCATCAGTATTAGAATTCACTTGTGTCAATATAGTCAAGCTATATCTCTTTTGAAAGCTTATTCCCACCTCTAAACGCGTATTATGTTAAAATAAACATTAAATATAACCAAAAGTATGAAAAAGGAGTCAAACTGTATATGTATATAAAATATACATCGTCCTTTCTTACCTTTTCATGCTAATATTCTGGGGCAAATCACGTCTAATCCACACATGTGTGCATTCGTTTTGTTCGTGAGGGTTCATAGAATAATTATATCCAGTTGTTTTTTCTACAAAGTCATCCTTATAGTAGATATCCAGTTGTAACTACACATTTGAGTATTGAAAGTTGCACAAACGAAAACAAAACCTGTTCTTTGCGCACTGTATGAAGAAGGCATGTTACTATTTACCTAACGTCACTGGGTATGTTCGTCTTCCTCTTAGTCTTCCCTTCAAAACAAGCCCATTCCCGACCTTTTCAGTGCTATGGTTTGGAAGGTAGAGTGAGTTGAGTAAAACAAGCGCACCTAACTTTACCGCTCCAGTCATATAGATATCTGTGCGTCACGACAGCATTGTCTTGACTACCATTGGCCGATTTGGATGTCAATCAAACCATCTTGTAGCCAATAATCTCAGGTTTCAGGCGATGTGTCGGACTTCAAGGTTCCTCCCACTGTTCGAGTGTTATTTGAATGCGTAAGAGAGGAAAGCGGAGCATTTTCACGGAGAACACGCGCTATATCTATATAAATAATAGCTTTTCTGTAAACATTTCAATATCTGAAAAAATCCTATTTATAGCAAGAGTAATAGCCAAAAAATGATATAATTTGATATTTGGTGTAAAAACATTGATAATTTGCATGTAAAACACTTTGGCACAATTGGCACAAAAATGGACCGCTTGTGCCGAATGTGCCCATTAGTCACAAAAAAGCCCCCAGCATCAAAATGGTTTCACCTAAAGGTCTAAAATTTCATACAGTTGTTGCCAACACCACAGACATCTGCTCTGGTGAGTTTGAACAACATACCATAAAGTATGTTTTCAGGAGATTATTTAGAAATTGCCTTTTGTTTTTCGAGACAAAAAAAACTAACTTTGACTCATGTTTGAGAAGGTGTAGTGCAGACTGTGTCCTTCCTAAGAAACTGTAACATACATTTCCAGAAACTAGAAGGTGTTACCTTTCAAATGAGGCCTCATAACACAAAATCAGACACAAGATGTCCACACAATAAGCATTTCCATTTGGGTATCATAATTCAAGAAGGAGCAGGCGAAATTAGGTGATCCTTAAAGGGTTAAAACACATGAAAAATATAAAGCACACACAGAAGAAAATGTCCATACATGTTGTAGCATGCTAAAGTGTCCTGATCATCACCAATCCTTTCTGTTGGACACTAACTGTCCAACAAGACCCTCCTGCATCGACAAGGAAAAACTCTTAAAAAACCCGACCAGGTCCTGGTCCTGGTCTGGTCCTGCACCAATAATGAATTTCTCACAGAGCTGAGGAAGGCAGTACATCTCTAGGAGGATCCACATCCAGGCCCTATGGTATACACCAGTTTGAACCAGACTAAACCAGTTTGAACCAGACTGCACCAGTGTGAACCCAAGCCCCGGTGATCCAAGACGGCGCCGTATTCAAATGAATGGTTGTGCTCAGTGGCGCTTTGTGCCGGCACGGTCGCTGACATATTAGCGGGACTCGCCTGTATTTGGGCATCGTCTGGTCCTCCTGGTTCTGTGCAGCGGATGATCTCCAATGATGCGTTGCGCCAAACACACATGTGTGGGTCTCACACCGGGTCTCACGCACGTGCACAGAGGGGCTTGGCCGCGCTCTGACCAATCAGAGCAGTTCATCAGAGCGGGAGTTAGAGCGAGAGCCAGACGAGCAGAGTTTGTGGCACTAAAGTGTGGATTTAAACAAAACCGAAGGATTTAAGAAGAAAATAGGGACCGACGCCTATTACAGAGGCGGTGGAGGCTGTAAGAGAAAGCCTACAGAAAGACGCCACACTAGGGGAGAGAACGAAACTAACAGCTGACCACATCTGTGAAATACTTGAAATGTGTCTTAACACCACGTATTTCCAATTTAGAGGCACCTTCTTTAGACAGATTAATGGCTGTGCGATGGGCTCCCCAGTCTCTCCTATAGTGGCCAATCTGTATATGGAGAAACTGGAGGAACAAGCCCTGGGCTCTTACCAAGGGACAGCGCCAAGCCATTGGTGTTAATATGTAGACGATACATGGGTTAAGTTAAAGAAACAGGAAGAGGAACCATTTTCAGAACACATTAATTCGGTGGACCCTTTTATAAATTTCACCCGTGAGGATGCTAAGGAGAGTGAACTGGCCTTTCTAGATTGTAAGGTCATCATACTGGAGAACGGACAATTAGAGACTGAGGTCTTCAGAAAGTCCACTCACACTGACCAGTACTTGGCCTTTGATTCAAATCATCCGCTACAACACAAACTCGGGGTCATTAAAACGCTTCAACACCGAGCCCACCAGGTCCCCACAAGCTCGGAGGGAAAGAACAGAGAAACCAAACATGTTCAGAGAGCACTTTCCAGATGTGGCTACCCCAAGTGGTCTTTTACTAAAGCCCAAAGGACGAGAAAGGCCAGAGACACAGTCCAACAGACAGAAGAAAGTAGGAGGAGAGGGGTGTCCTTACCGTATGTGGCGGGAGTTTCAGAGAAACTACAAAGAATCTTTAGGCAACACAAAATCCCTGTGTATTTCAAACCTTTCAACACGTTAAGACAGAAATTAGTGCATCCCAAAGACAAAACACCCAGACACAAACAGAGCAATGTGGTGTATTCAATTAAATGTAGTGAAGAGGAGTGCACTGACCACTATATTGGAGAAACCAAACAAACTCTACAGAAACGACTTTACCAACATCGTAGAGAAAACTCTAGTGGGCCACAGTCGGCTGTTCATCTCCACCTCAAGGCCTCCAACCACACGGTGGATGACACAGAGGTTAAAATTCTGGCTCGGGAGAAGAATTGGTTTGAGAGAGGGGTGAAAGAAGCCATTTTTGTGAGGAAACACAAACCTTCTCTTAACAGAGGAGGAGGGTTAAGATTTGTTTTGCCTCGCATCTATGACGACATCCTAAAAACAACGCCCTAACTTGGGACAAGGTCAGTGACATGCTAATGGGTTAGGAGGGGTGAGACCTGCACTCCACTTGAGCATCCCAGCAGACAATAGGTCTGTGACATGCTAATGAGTTAGGGTCGTTAGATCTGCTCCCTTCTACATCAAGCAGACCTTAGATTGTTTATGAGTTCGTATCAGGATTAGGGTGTGACTAACCACACCCATAGGTTATAAATCTCCAACGCGCGGTCCGAGAATTCATTCCCTGAAGAAGTCCGATAGTTTGAGGACGAAACGTCGGGAAAACTTGCTAAGAAGTACAGATGATGGGTGAGAAACCTTCCTTTGCTTTGACTAATCCCTGTATGACTGAGGGCTTACACAAAATACTAACAGTGATTATAATAATAGTCATATTGATAATGTGAAGAATAATAGTAATAGTAATAATAATGTAATAATGGTGATGATGCTGTAACCCTGAGTGTGTGGATGTGTTTCAGGCACGTTCACGGTGGACGAGGCTCTGGAGGTCGTTGGTTTTGGTAGATTCCACCTGATGCCCTGCGCCATGGCCAGACTCTGCTGGGTACCACTGATACTACTGCTGTCACTGTGTTATATCAATAAACATCACTCACTACACACGCCCATACCTGCAGCTGAAAGCCAGATCCTGTCAGACCTCTGAAGCTAAGCAGGTCAGGGCCTGGTTAGTAATGTGATGGGAACAGCAGATGGCACAGTGGGGCGGCTGTGGCTGTAAAGTGCCAAACTGTGGTTGTGTCCTTAGGCAAGACACTTCCCCCACATTAGAATGAGTCTGGTGTGTGTGTGAATGGTTGGTAGTGGTGGGAGGGGCTGATGGCACAGACTGGTTGCCTCGTTTCTGTCAGTGTGCCCCGGGGCAGCTGTGGCTACAGTAGAAGTTTGCCACCACTGTGGCGGCACGGTGGCAGAGTGGATAGCACTCTCGCCTCTCAGCAAGAAGGTCCTGGGTTCGAATCCCGGTCGGACCAGGGCCTTTCTGAGTGGAGTTTGCATGTTCTCCCCGTGTCTGCGTAGGTTTCCTCCGGGTACTCCGGTTTCCCCTACCACTAAAAATATGCCCAATAGTTCAGGCATGCGCCTCCTGTACTGGCGACCCCGCTCCCATCTCTGTGTGGAGTGAGAGACAAATGCCCAAAATTAACAATTGTAAACCGCTTTGAGACTCAAATCTGCAGTGAAAAGGCGGTATATAAATAAAGATTACTACTACTACTACTACTACTACTACTGTGTTTGGAGTTCTTCATTATTCACATTCTCCTGCCGCTCTGTGATTGGTCAGATGGGTGTAACTCTCTCCTGCAGCTCTGTGATTGGTCAGATGGGTGTAACTCTCCCATGCAGCTCTGTGATTGGTCAGATGGGTGTAACTCTCTCGTGGAGCTCTGTGATTGGTCAGATGGGTGTAACTCTCTCCTGCAGCTCTGTGATTGGTCAGATGGGTGTAACTCTCTCATGCAGCTCTGTGATTGGTCAGATGGGTGTAACTCTCTCATGCAGCTCTGTGATTGGTCAGATGGCAAATTCGATGGTGGTGATGACGCTGGGGCTGGTGGGGTCTCAGTTACACTGTGAGTGGAGACTACAGAGTCACGAGGAGGCCCTGATGATCTCAGTGAGTGACACATAACACTACATAACAATGCATACAGTAATACTACATAAGTTATAACAATACATAGTACTACAAAAAATACACAACACTAACGCAACCCTACTCAATACTGCATAACGCAAGACAACAATACAAAATAATGTATAACACTTCGCAATACTGCTGAACACTACACAACACTAACGCAACACGTCACAACCCTACACAATACTGCATAACGCAACACAACAATACAAAATAATGTATAACACTTCACAATACTGCTTAACACTACACAACACTAACGCAACACTCAGAACATTACACAACTCTTCAGCAAAACTACACAATACTAAGAACAACACAACCCTACACAATACTGCATAACACTACGCAACACAATACTAATGCAACACTACACAACACTAAACAACAATACATAACTCAGTCTACAGCAGTGATCTCAAACATGAAAAGGTTATGTGTCGCCCCCTCGTGGACATCACATGTTTGTGCAGCTCCCACTGAGCGTCTTAGCAAATATGTTACACATCATTTTAAAAAGAATTTCATCAAGAAAACAACTGTTTTTTTTATTCATAAACATTCTACCCTAAATTAAATCGGCAATAAATCAAAGTATACTTCATTAAACCCAATCTACACTTTCAATCCCAGCAGCAGCTCATAGAAATATGTTAAATTATTTCAAACAGAAAGACCAGCAAGGCTCTGTGCTTCTTCCTCTTCACCCTGAGCCTGCTGCCCATTCACCTGTGCCTCGGCAGGACCACTCTCACTGCGCTTCTGTTTGTGGCCAGAGCCACGATGCTCAGCGTCACTCAGGTCATTTTCCTTTACACGTCAGAGGTAAGGACTCTATCTCCTCTGGTCTCTCTCTCTTTGGTGTCTCTCTGGTCCCTCTCTTCTACCTCTTTGGTTTCTCTCTGGTCTTTCTCTCTGGTCTCTCTCTCTGGTCTTTGTCTGGTCTCTCTCTGGGTCTCCCTCTGGTCTCTTTCTGGTCTCTCTCTGGTCTCCCTCTGGTCTCTTTATGGTCTTCCTCTCGTCTCTTTCTGGTCTTTCTCTGGTCTCCCTCTGGTCTCCCTCTGGTCTCTTTCTGGTCTTTCTCTGGTCTCCCTCTGGTCTCCCTCTGGTCTCTCTCTGGTCTCCCTCTGGTCTCCCTCTGGTCTCTCTCTGGTCTCCCTCTGGTCTCCCTCTGGTCTCCCTCTGGTCTCCCTCTGGTGTCTCGCCGATCTCCCTCTGCTCTCTCTCTGGTCTCTCTCTGGTCTCCCTCTTGTCTCTTTCTGGTCTCCCTCTGGTCTCCCTCTGGTCTCTCTCTGGTCTCCCTCTGGTCTCCCTCTGGTCTCTCTCTGCTCTCTCTCTGGTCTCTCTCTGGTCTCTCTCTGGTCTCCCTCTGCTCTCTCTCTGGTCTCTCTCTGGTCTCCCTCTGGTCTCCCTCTGGTCTCCCTTTGCTCTCTCTCTGGTCTCTCTCTGGTGTCCCTCTGGTCTCCCTCTGGTCTCTCTCTGGTCTCCCTTGGTCTCCCTCTACTCTCTCTCTGGTCTCTGTCTGGTCTCCCTCTGGTCTCTCTCTGGTCTCCCTCTGGTCTCCCTCTGGTCTCTCTCTGGTCTCCCTCTGGTCTCTCTCTGGTCTCCCTCTGGTCTCTCTCTGGTCTCCCTCTGGTCTCCCTCTACTCTCTCTCTGGTCTCTCTCTGGTCTCCCTCTGGTCTCCCTCTGGTCTCTCTCTGGTCTCCCTCTGCTCTCTCTCTGGTCTCTCTCTGGTCTCCCTCTGGTCTCTCTCTGGTCTCCCTCTGCTCTCTCTCTGGTCTCTCTCTGGTCTCTCTCTGGTCTCCCTCTGGTCTCTGTCTGGTCTCTCTCTGGTCTCTCTCTGGTCTCTCTCTGGTCTCCCTCTGGTCTCCCTCTACTCTCTCTCTGGTCTCTGTCTGGTCTCCCTCTGGTCTCTCTCTGGTCTCCCTCTGCTCTCTCTCTGGTCTCTCTCTGGTCTCCCTCTGGTCTCCCTCTGGTCTCTCTCTGGTCTCCCTCTGCTCTCTCTCTGGTCTCTCTCTGGTCTCCCTCTGGTCTCTCTCTGGTCTCCCTCTGCTCTCTCTCTGGTCTCTCTCTGGTCTCTCTCTGGTCTCCCTCTGGTCTCTCTCTGGTCTCTCTCTGGTCTCTCTCTGGTCTCTCTCTGGTCTCCCTCTGGTCTCCCTCTACTCTCTCTCTGGTCTCTGTCTGGTCTCCCTCTGGTCTCTCTCTGGTCTCCCTCTGGTCTCTCTCTGGTCTCCCTCTGGTCTCTCTCTGGTCTCTCTCTGGTCTCCCTCTTGTCTCTTTCTGGTCTCTCTCACTGTTTGTTTCCTGTGGAGGTGTTTTGCACAGAGATCCTGGCGATGGCTCTGGGGACGTCCAACAGCTTTGGGAAGTTAGGAGCTCTCATCTCTCCTTTTAAAGCACAGGTACATTTAGTCACATGATCACACAGAGCACAGTCTATGCATAGTTCCTACATGACGTCACTACATACGGGGATTTGCCGACCCGGCGCCATTTGTGTTGGCATTCTGTGGGCAAAACAATAGAAAAAGAAGCTGAAACGTGTTAATGTCGTGATAAAGTTGAAAATGGTCATCTCCTGCTGGGTCAATGGATGTTCAAATCGTGCCGGAGGTTCAGTTAAACTTGGATTTTACAGTATACCCATCATTAGACTTCATGAATGTGAGAAGACTAAGCTTTTGTCAGAACAACGACGGAGGTTATGGCTTGCGAAGATAAACAGGCAAGAAACTCCCTCAAAACACGCAAGAATATGCTCGGAGCACTTTGTGTCAGGTGCGTATCGTATCTTATAATGTGTTGACAGACGTAATTTACTCAGTACTAACTTGTGTATGCTGATATCTGGTAACTTGAGAGTTTCATTATTTAGCGTTAGATTACTTTATTATGAGGAGGATCGGTGTCGCGTCCGAGGCTCTCGAGGGCAACGTAAATGTATTAAATAGATAATAATAGTTCTATGGTGGGCTGAAACAATGTTCACAAACAGCATTGCTTCTGTAAAAAGATCTGTGTCATAAAATAAACTGCTCTTTACGCCTGGAAAAATCAGTTGCCCACCATTCACCAAAACATACGGTCAAAAACGCGGAAATAAACAATAACAGCAATCCAGAGTGTCCGTGTGGCATTAGCATTAATTAAATTAATTGTTAATATAATTAAAATAATTAAATGGAGCTCCAACTGGTATTAAATCTAAAGTTTTTGAGAAATGTTTGCATTGCTTGTTAATTTTTGCTGCATAATTTGATCAAATATGTAAAATATGTCCGTAGCACGTTAAACTGTGGTGCCATTGTATTAATATACAATTATTTGCTCAAAAGTTGCCCTTTTTTTCCAATTTGCGTTTGAATATCTACATTTATTCTCATTCTTCTGTTTAATGGAATGCACAAACACAGCAGCGTGCCATCAAAGATGGCGTCTCCGAGGAGGTCATGTGACATTCATTGGTCTGTGGGAACTATGTATTGGGGGAAAGAGTATTACTAGCTTAAAGCTGTCCCACCCATGGGCACAGGGGGCGCTGTGGTACTGCAGACTAAATTCACGTTACCCAGACAAGAGTCCCATAAAAATCAATATAAACTAAAACAGCTTGACCTCAGCTGACAGACAACCTCACAGAGAACCTACAGCTTTCATAAAGGGGGATTTTATGGGGATTGTAGTGTCTTATCTATAAATCCACACTTCAAAGCAACAAACTGCTCATTTTCTTCCCGCTCTGATCAGCTCTGATTGGTCAGAGCGCGGCCGAGCCCCTCTTTGCACGTGCGTGAGAGCCACACATTCGTATTTGGCGCAAAGCATCATGGGAACTCATCATCTGCACAGAACAGGAGGCGGGCCTCTCGCTTCATAATATCGTTTTGTGGTGATGTCACACTCTGGATGAGTTGTGTTTCAGTGTCAGTGTGTCAGTGAGTGAACGCTGGCGCGCTTTGGCAGCCGCTGCTCACAGAACAAACACGGACTAAAACATTGTTTACGCAATATTGGATGTCGTGGTTACGTTGTGTTTTAAGGATTGTTTACCTGCTTTCGATATCAACCACAGTTTGCTGTTGTCATAAGCATTTTGGACATATTCATACCTGGGACCCCTGGCTGTCGTATTCCCCTCCTGGGAAACGATGTGTGTCTGCCATATAACGCGCTGGCTTGTTGTCATCTGGCTCATCGTGTCCCTGGTCCATCTGCAGGCCAATGCTCTCCTCCAGTACTCCGCTGCTGAACTTTTAAAACTTCGGCACCACGTCCCCGCTCCTCTTCAGCCACCGGAGCGCGGACATGACATCCCCCCGGGCATCGCCTTCCAGCCCCGGCGGCGGTACGTTCACCGTGGATCACGCCGTAAGCTCCAATACAAGGACTCCCATTCAATAAAGTCCCTCTGGTCCACCACTCGCCGCTGCTCCCGCACCGCTGGTCGGGACGCTGACAGTGTCCTGGTCAGCGTGGCCCGATCGGCTCAGCCCGCGGCAGCCAAGAACAGCTCCACCACCGTCAGCTTCGGTCTCCTCAACGTGCGCTCCCTCAACACCAAGGGCCATCTGGTCCGGGATGTCCTCGTCGACCGTAAGCTGGACTTCTTGTGTTTGACCGAAACCTGGCAGCAGCCAAATGACTTTGCCGCGTTGAACGACTCCACTCCACCGGGGTTTGTTTACATCTGCCAGCCCCGCAGCTGTGGCCGCCGGGGCGGAGGTCTCGCGATGCTTCACCGCGAGACTTGGAAAGTCACACCTGTGCCTGCTGCCCCTGTCTTCTCCTCCTTCGAGTACTCTGCCTCACTGCTGCCTGGACCTTCTCCTACTGTTGTTGCCACCATCTACCGCCCGCCAAAACTTAATAAGGACTTTTTAAATGACTTTTCTCACCTTCTAACACACTTCTCATCTATCTCTCATAACGCAGTCATACTTGGGGACTTCAACATTCACATGGACAATAATAGCAACCCTCTCACCAAAGACTTCTCCTCCTGTTTAGATAGTTTTGGTTTACAACAACACATTCATTTCCCCACCCACACTAAAGGTCACATTTTGGATTTAATCTGCTGCTCTGGTCTCACTCCCACTGACTGTAAACCTCACACACTCCCATACACAGACCATAAGCTCATCACCTTCAATATCAACCTCACCCTCTCCAAGACCATCCTTCCCCGAACCATTTCTTTCCGTAAAATTCAGGACATAAAACACTGCCACCTTCGCCTCAGATATCAATAACCTCCCCACTACTGATCCCAATGACTCCCCCGATGACCTGGTCTCCCACTACAACACTTCTCTCCATAACCTCCTGAACAATCATGCTCCTCTCAAAACCCGACCCGTCTCTTTCACGCTCTCAGCACCCTGGTTCACCCCTGCCCTCCGTCAGCTCAAATCCCAAGGACGTCAACTTGAACGGCTCTTCAATAAAACTGGACTCACCATTCACAAACAAATGTACAATAACCACATCATGCTATACAAGGACCATCTCTCTGCTGCCAAATCCACCTACTACTCCGGTTTAATCCACTCCAATCATCAAAACTCCAAAACTCTCTTCTCTCTTCTCACCAATATAACCAAACCCCCTGACTCCCTCCCTCACCATATGCAATCCACTGACTTCTGTAACTCACTCATGTCCTTCTTTACCTCCAAGATCTCTGACATTCACCAACACCTGACCCCGCATGGAGCTGCAGTCTCTGGAGTGGACCCCCCAGCCCCCTACTCATCCCTCATAGCCACATTCTCCAGCTTCATCTTGCCCTCCGTCCAAGCCATCTCCGACTTTATCATTAAATCCAAACCTTCTACCTCTCAGCTCGACCCTCTCCCTACCGTTCTGGTCAAATCCTGCCTCCCCTCAGCTGCCCCCCTCATCACTAATATCATTCATTCATCTCTCACTTCTGGTACTGTCCCTCTCTCATTCAAAACCGCCTCAGTCTCACCCATTCTCAAAAAACCTGGCCTGGATCCAACCAACTTCAACAACCTCCGTCCCATCTCAAACCTTCCCTTCATCTCCAAAATACTTGAAAAATCTGTCGCTGCTCAACTCCACAACCACCTCACCACCAACAACATCTACGAACAATTTCAGTCTGGTTTCCGTCCCCTCCACAGCACCGAAACAGCTCTTCTAAAAATCACTAACGATCTCCTCATAGCCTCTGACTCCGGTTTACTCTCCATCCTCATCCTTCTGGACCTCACTGCAGCTTTTGACACCATTTCTCACTCCACCCTCCTGAACAGACTCTCCTCCATCGGCATCACCCACAACCCCCTCGCCTGGTTCACCTCCTATCTTTCTGGTCGCTCACAGTTCATTCATCTCAAATCCCACAAATCCCGCACTTTTCCTGTCTCTGCTGGTGTGCCCCAGGGCTCTGTCCTGGGGCCCCTCCTCTTCATCATCTATATTCTCCCACTCGGTCACATCCTCCGCCGTCACAACATTCACTTCCACTGCTACGCGGATGACACCCAGCTCTACCTCTCCACTAAACCATCTTCCTCTCTCCCTCCATCCTCCCTCACCCTCTGTCTACAAGAAATTCATTCCTGGTTCTCTTCCAACTTTCTCAAACTCAATAGCTCAAAAACTGAAGTCCTTCTCATAGGCACCCCCTCCACTCTCTCCAAATCTACCAGCTTCTCAATCTCCATCCATAACACATCTGTCCTCCCCTCCCCTCAAGTCAAGAGCCTGGGTGTCATCCTCCACAGTTCACTCTCCTTCCAATCCCACATCAATAACATCACTCGGTCTGCCTACTTCCACCTGCGCAATATCTCTCGTCTCCGCCCCTCTCTCTCACCCCCCACACCACCGCCATCCTCGTCCACAGCCTCGTCACCTCAAGGATTGACTACTGCAACTCACTTCTCTTCGGCCTCCCCAACAAATCCCTCCAGAAACTGCAGCTCCTCCAAAACTCTGCAGCTCGTATCATCACCCGGACCCCCACAGCTCACCACATCACCCCCGTACTACAACAACTCCACTGGCTTCCTGTCAAACAGCGCATCAATTTCAAAATACTCCTCACCACCTTCAAAGCACTTCACAACCTGGCCCCTCCGTACTTATCTGACCTCCTCCACCCTCACATTCCTGCCCGCACACTCCGCTCCTCCTCCACCCTCACACTCTCCGTCCCCCCAGCCAGACTCATCACTGTGGGACACAGAGCCTTCAGCCACTCTGCCCCCCAGCTCTGGAACTCTCTCCCCCCTGACCTCCGTACCATTGACTCTCTTCCACTCTTCAAATCCCGACTCAAAACCCATCTGTTCAGACTGTCCTACCCCACCTAACACACACGCGCGCACACACACACACACACACACACACACACACCTAACACATACGCACACACACACCCTCCTAACTCACACACACACACACACCATCCCATATTGCACCTGACTACTGTTTTATTCTGTTTATCCTGTTTTTATATATGTTTTTTTTATTATGCCTGTACAGTGTCCTTGGGTGTTTTGAAAGGCGCTTTTAAATAAAATGTATTATTATTATTATTATTGTTTCCGTCTCGCTGCAGGTGCTGCTGAGGATCTCTCCTGGTCTCGCTCTGTCTGTGTTCTGGGGGTCCGCTCTGCTGGGGGGGGTCGCGGCCCTGCTCCTGCCCCTGGAGACTTCAGGACGGACTCTGCAGGAGCTGGAGACACAGCACGATACCCCCCCTCTCCAGGGCTGTGATAGAACACCATTTCCGTTTCAGCAGGTTTAGAACCTTTAATCCTCCATGTTTCTTTGATATTGTAGCACTTTGAGGTTGTACACTTTAAATAAAATGTATTGTTATTATTATTATTATGAACAACAGAGGCGAATGTGTCAAGTCTTTTTATTCCTGGTTTGGTTCTTGTTCGGGCCTTGTTTGGACCTGGTTCAGACCTGGTTCAGTACTGGCTCCGACGTGCTTCGGTCCTGGTTCGGCCCTGTTCAGTCCTGGTTCAGACCATAGACTGTAAATATTGACGGATGTAGTCACGCCTATCTCCACCGTTCAAACTAATGTGCAGGAACATGTGACAAATCCCGTTTGCGCATGCATTAGCTGCACTAACCCCGTTCGAGTGCATTCTGAAGTCCACAGCGACTAAACTAGACTGTCCAACTTAGCATTGGACCAACAGCCACTTTTGGACCATTCATTTGAGAGAAAAGAAAACGCCATTCAAAAATATTGGGTAATTCTTATTCCGGGTACACCCCCACCATCTCAACCGCCCCCACTGCTTCAGACCTGGTTCAGTCCGTTGTGGCACAGCTCGACCACAGGGGGCACTGTGTCCTCAGGAGTATTTTGTTATATTTACAGTCAATGTTGAGGTATAATAGAATCAGTAGCATAATATGATACATCCATGAGCAAAGTGTAAACAGAAGTTCCACCAGCACGAGCAAGAAGGACCAGGAATAAGGACCATGAAGGAGGATGCAGCCCTGTCCTGTGTATGTCATAGACTGTAAATATAAGTATATGCACATTTAAAACAACCATTAAAGTGAACATAGATCTATTGTGATTAAAAACACATTTCATGGAACATAAAAAGTACAAATAATAAAAATGAAAAAGTCACGCCACAGACTGTTTTCACCAGAGGCAGGAATCTAGGGGCGGAGTCGTTCGTTGTTATTGTTGGAGACTGTGAAATGCGCCTGCGCAGGACAGTTTCATTTTGAAATGAAACCGTGAAAATGCAACCTATTTCTCCTTTGTTTATTTCTACACAAAGCACCGCGTACTCACAGCAGAGGGCGCTACACGTGGTTCCATACCTTGTCATTATTATTATCATTATTATTATTATTGTTGAGAGACTAAGGCAGGAACAATCTCTATGGGTTTGTGTTTCTTCTTTACATCCTTAATGTTGTGTTTAACAGTAGAGCATTGAGACTGTTTCTGTTCATTTCTATGCTGTTTTTTGTTTTAAATGTGAGATTTACCTCCAACTTTATTTATTTTCATGTAAAATTAAAATATAGCCATTCTCAGTTACTTTCTTGAGGCTGTAGATCCATATATATAGTCTGATCCAGACACAGCAGGAGAGAGGTTAGTGCTGTTACCAGACTTCTCCAGCAGAGGGCACTATTTGCAACGTCACTGACAATCTGTGTTCTGGTTGTATTTTTGAGTCTGACCGCCGGAAAAAAACATTATATATTTATTTATCTTTTTCGTGGTCAATAAGGTTACAGCCACCTGTCTTTGAGTTATAAAGAAACTAATAACATCAGAAATAATCACAATGCATTAACTGTTTTAACCTTGATTTATTGATATTTATAAAATATATCATTTTCATTACTGTTGTTAATTTCAGTAATAGCAGTAGTAGTATAATGATGATTATTATTGTAATCATTATTATTATTATCATTATTATTATTATCATTATTATTATTATCATTATTATTAGCAGTAATTATATAATATTATTCCTCGTCGTCTCTGTCTGTATTACTCTTGTTTTTCTTCCAGCAGATATCGTTACTCGTTACTCGGTACTCATCCGTGTTTGGAGTCTGACCAGGCACCTTGACAACATTCGCCCAATGACGACGCGCACGCGAACTAGGCCAGCCAATCAGAGCCGCCGCTCAGAGCTGCATGTCATATCTGCCCCGCTCTGCTCCTGCCCTGCCTTCTGCGTCTGTTTGTGTTTGTCTGTGACCTCTCTCTGCATCACGGACCCCCGCAAAGGACCCGGAGGACCCGGAGGAACCTCTGCTCATGTAGGGACCCTGACGAGGCGGTTTCTCTCCCGGTGACAGAGTCTGCAGACGCGCGTCTCTCTCCTCCGGCGGCATGGCCCTGGTGACGCTGCAGCGCTCCCCCACCCCGAGTGCAGCATCCTCCGGGAGCACCGAGGTAAGACCCCCATCCTGTGGGGGAGGCGAGACTCACCCCATTCTGTGGGGGAGGCAAGACTCATCCCCATCCTGGTCAGTGTGGGGGAGGCAAGACATATTTAAAGCTGGGGTCTGTAACTTTAGGGGAGACCATGCTCTAGTGTAGTTAAGTAAATGTAACTATACTTTTTTTCATTACTCCAGTGTTTAACATTTGAAGCTGGAAATATTAGTGATGGTTTTTTTCAGTTGTAAACAAAGAACCTTTGAGAAGTCCACAGTGTCGTCCAGCCAACTTCAGCTTCACCTGTACCTTGTTGTGAAGATCAGTACCTCTGGTGGTCTCTCTCTGGTCCCTCTCTGGTCTCTCTCTGGTCTCTCTCTGGTCCCTCTCTGGTCTCTCTCTAGTCTCTCTCTGGTCTCTCTCTCTGGTCTCTCTCTGGTCTCTCTCTGGTCTCTCTCTGGTCTCTCTCTCTGGTCTCTCTTTGGTCTCTCTCTGGTCTCTCTCTCTCTGGTCTCTCTCTCTCTGGTTTCTCTCTGATCTCTCTCTGGTTTCTCTCTGGTTTCTCTCTGGTCTCTCTGGTCTCTCTGGTCTCTCTCTGGTCTCTCTCTGGTTTCTCTCTGGTCTCTCTCTGGTCTCTCTCTCTGGCCTCTCACTGGTCTCTCTCGGGTCTCTCTCTCTGGTCTCTCTCTGGTCTCTCTCTCGTTTATCTCTGATCTCTCTCTGGTTTCTCTCTGGTCTCTCTCTGGTCTCTCTCTGGCCTCCCTCTGGTCTCTCTCTCTTTTTTTTAATTTAAGCTTTATTTAACCAGGAAAAATAACATTGAGATTAAGAATCTCTTTTTCAAGGGAGTCCTGGCCAAGAGGCAGCAAAGTTACACATAAACACAACAGATGGATACAATTACATTAAAAAAATGACAGGTTCAGACTACACACATCAAGTAAAACATTTGCAGGTGATTGAGGCAGTCTCGAAAACTCTTAAGTTTTGATTTAAAAGCATTCAAAGACAAAAGCTCGGTCAGCTTCGAGTCTCGCTGGAGCATGTTCCAAGCAGAAGGAGCTGCATGGACAAAGGCTCTTTTTCCAAACTCTGTGCGGACAAAAGGCACAGTAAGTAACAGCTGCTCATTGGACCTCAGAGCATAAGACTCTGTGCTCCTCTGTGTGAGTAATGTACAGAGGTCAGAGGGCAGGAGTCACAGAAGAGCCTTGTAAATAAAGGTGTACCAATGACACTGCCTCCTAGTGGACAGGGAGGACCATCCCACCCGAGCGTACAGCTCACAGTGATGTGTCAGAGCTCTACAGTTTGTGATGAACCTCAGGGAAGCATGATGAATAGAGTCCAGCTTTTCAAGACACAAAGAGGTAGCATTCATATAAAAAAGGTCCCCATAATCTAAGACGGATAAAAAAGTGGCAGAGACGAGGCGCCTTTTAACCCCCTAAAAAAACATGTCTTATTTCGAAAGACATGGTCTCTCTCTGGCCTCTCTGGCCTCTCTCTGGTCTCTCTCTGGTTTCTCTCTGGTCTCTCTCTCTGGCCTCTCTCTGGTTTCTCTCTGGTTTCTCTCTGGTCTCTCTCTCTGGTCTCTCTCTGGTCTCTCTCTGGTATCTATTTGGTCTCTCTCTGGTCTCTCTCTGGTCTGTCTCGATGGTGCTGGGGCCTCATTCTTCTGTCTTGTGTTTCTTCAGGATTTTGGGAGTGATGACGACAGAAAGAACAACCAGTGGTGAGTTTTACATGTTTTCAAATGTACAACAATTGTATACAATGCCTTGTGAAAGTATTCGGCTCCCTTGAACCTTTCAACATTTCGCCACATTTCAGGCTTCAAACATAAAGATATAACATTTTAATTTTTTGTCATGAATCAACAACAAGTGGGACACACTCGTGAAGTGGAACGAAATTTATTGGATAATTTAAACTTTTTTAACAAATAAAAAACTGAAAAGTGGGGCGTGTAATATTATTTGGCCCCTTTACTTTCAGTGCAGCAAATTCAGTCCAGAAGTTCAGTGAGGATCTTTGAATGATCCAATGTTGTCCTAAATGACTGATGATGATAAATAGAATGCACCTGTGTGTAATCAAGTCTCCGTATAAATGCACCTGCTCTTTGATAGTCTCAGGGTTCTGTTTAAAGCGCAGAGAGAACCATGAAGACAAAGGAACACACCAGGCAGGTCCGAGATACTGTTGTGGAGAAGTTTAAAGCCGGATTTGGATACAAAAAGATTTCCCAAGCTTTAAACATCTCAAGGAGCACTGTGCAAGCAATTATATGGAAATGGAAGGAGTATCAGACCACTGCAAATCTACCAAGACCCGGCCGTCCCTCCAAACTTTCATCTCAAAAGGAGAAGACTGATCAGAGATGCAGCCAAGAGGCCCATGATCACTCTGGATGAACTGCAGATAACTACAGCTGAGGTGGGAGAGTCTGTCCATAGGACAACAATCAGTCGTGCACTGCACAAATCTGGCCTTTATGGAAGAGTGGCAAGAAGAAAGCCATTTCTCAAAGATATCCATAAAAAGTCTCGTTTAAAGTTTGCCACAAGCCACCTGGGAGACACACCAAACATGTGGAAGAAGGTGCTCTGGTCAGATGAAACCAAAATCAAACTTTTTGGCCACAATGCAAAACGATATGTTTGGCGTAAAAGCAACACAGCTCATCACCCTGAACACATCATCCCCACTGTCAAACATGGTGGTGGCAGCATCATGGTTTGGGCCTGCTTTTCTTCAGCAGGGACAGGGAAGATGGCTAAAATTGATGGGAAGATGGATGGAGCCAAATACAGGACCATTCTGGAAGAAAACCTGTTGGAGTCTGCAAAAGACCTGAGACTGGGACGGAGATTTATCTTCCAACAGGACAATGATCCAAAACATAAAGCCAAATCTACAATGGAATGGTTCACAAACAGACGTATCCAGGTGTTAGAATGGCCAAGTCAAAGTCCAAACCTGAATCCAATCGAGAATCTGTGGAAAGAGCTGAAGACTGCTGTTCACAAACGCTCTCCATCCAACCTCACTGAGCTCGAGCTGTTTTGCAAGGAAGAATGGGCAAGAATTCCAGTCTCTCGATGTGCAAAACTGATAGAGACATACCCCAAGCGACTTGCAGCTGTAATTGCAGCAAAAGGTGGCGCTACAAAGTATTAGCGCGAGGGGGCCGAATAATATTGCACGCCCCACTTTTCAGTTTTTTATTTGTTAAAAAAGTTTAAATTATCCAATAAATTTAGTTCCACTTCACGATTGTGTCCCACTTGTTGTTGATTCTTGACATAACTTTAAAATTGTATATCTTTACGTTTGAAGCCTGAAATGTGGCGAAATGTTGAAAGGTTCAAGGGGGCCGAATACTTGTTATAACTGTATAACGCACATATTACAGACATAAGACACACATGTTACACTCATATTGTATCTGACACATTCTCTGTTCTTCAGCCTCAGTGAGAGTTTCTTCATGGTCAAAGGAGCCGCCCTCTTCCTCCAACAGGGGGGCATTGCACAGGAGCCAAACACTCAACACACACACACAGGTGATACCATCACCTTTTCTCTGGTCTCTGTATGGTCTCTAGTCTTTTTCTGGCCTCTCCCTGGTCTTTCTCTGGTTTCTCTCTGGTCTCTCTCTGCTCTCTCTCTGGTCTCTCTCTGGTCTCTCTCTGGTCTCTCTCTGGTCTCTCTCTGGTCTTTTGCTGTACTCTCTCTGATTTCTCTCTGGTCTCTATCTCTGGCCTCTCTCTGGTCTCTCTCTGGTCTCTCTCTGGTTTCTCTCTGGTCTCTGTGGTCTCTCTCTGGTCTCTCTCTGGTCTCTCTCTGGCCTCTCCCTGGTCCCTGGTTCTAACCCTCACTTCTTGTATTTCTTTCAGGGGATCTCCCTCGACACCTCCAGGTCATGTTTAAGATCCTCCGAGCTGAAGACCACATCAAATTGGTGAGAAATAAGTCCCTTTTTCAGCTTTTCTTCAAACTTTGAATGTTCTGAAACGCTGTGGACTCTGGCAGACGGTGCGGCTGGAGAGTGGCTGGTCGGAGAGAGTCCGGTACCTGGTGGTCATCTACACCAGCGGTCACCAAGACACCGAGGAGAATATCGTCCTGGGGCTGGACTTTGCAGACAAAGACAGGTACGAGATCCTAGACTCAAAGATGGACTTTTATTTACTCTGTGTTTGTTTGTCTGCAGCAAGAGTTGTTCTGTCGGGATGGTCCTACCCCTCTGGAGCGACACTAACATCCACCTGGACGGAGATGGGTGAGTGTGAGGGACAGGACTGAGGCTGTAGACCCAGGACTGAGGCTGTAGACCCAAGGACTGAGGCTGTAGACCCAGGACTGAGGCTGTAGACCCAGGACTGAGGCTGTAGATCCAGGACTGAGGCTGTAGTATATGTGGTTACAGCAGCAGTAGTGCCCTCTGCTGGCTGCAGAGGGAACAGCAGGAGTGTTTCTTGCTGACCTGTCACTGTTGTTGTGAGTGGGGCCCTCTCTGTCACAAACCTCTCTCTCTCCTCAGCGGCTTCAGCGTCAGCACGGCCGGACGCTCACATGTCTTCAAGCCGGTGTCGGTGCAAGCCATGTGGTGAGTACCTGTGTCTGTGGTCTCTCTGGTCTCTCTCCGGTCTCTCTGGTCTCTCTCTGGTTTCTCTCTCTGGTCTCTCTCTGGTCTCTCTCTGGTCGTTTTCTGGTCTCTCTCTTTGAGCTTTCTCTCTGGTCTCTCTCTGGTCTCTCTCTCTGGTCTCTCTCTGGTCTCTCTCTCTGGTCTCTCTCTGGTCCCTCTCTGGTCTCTCTCTGGTCTCTCTCTGGTCGTTCTCTGGACTCTCTCTTTGAGCTTTCTCTCTGGTCTCTCTCTGGTCTCTCTCTGGTCTCTCCCTGGTCTCTCTCTGGTCTCTCTCTGGTCTCTCTGTCTGGACTCTCTCTGGCTTCTCTCTTTTCTCTCTCTGGTCTCTCTCCAGCCTCTCTCTTGTCTCTCTCTGGTCTCTCTCTGGTCTTTCTCCGGCCTCTCTCTGGTCTCTCTCTGGTCTCTCTCCGGCCTCTCTCTGGTCTCTCTCTGGTCTCTCTCCGGCCTCTCTCTGGTCTCTCTCTGGTCTCTCTCCGGCCTCTCTCTTGTCTCTCTCTGGCCTCTCTCTGGCTTTTCTCTCTGGTTTCTCTCTGGTTTCTCTCTGGTCTCTCTCTCTGGTCTCTCTCTGATCTCTCTCTGGTCTCTCTCTGGTCTCTCTCTGGTCTCTCTCTGGTTTCTCTCTGGTCTATCTCTTTACAGAACATGTGATAACTATTGTGGGACTGCAGCAGTTTCCATCACTTTGTTTATTCCTCTGGTTTCAGGTGTTTTTAGCCTTAACTTACATTCACTTTTATTAATAATAATAATAATAATAATACATCAAACTTGTATAGTGCTTTTTTGGACACTCAAAGACGCTTCACATGGGGAGTAGAATACAATGATAAAAAGGGTTTTACGGAAAAGCTTGTTTGAAAAGATGGGTTTTGAGTAATGATTTAAAGTTTGATAGTGAGTCAGACTTTCTAATGGGCAGTGGGAGTGAGTTCCAGAGGGTAGGGGCGGCAATGGCAAAAGCTCTGTCCCCCAAGGTTTGGCGGTTACTGCTGGTGATGGGGGTGAGGAGGTTGGAATTGGCTGAGCGAAGCCGGCGGGTGGGTTGGTGCTGTTGTAGGAGCTCAGTAAGGTAGGGCGGGGCCAGGTTATGGAGGGACTTGTAGGTGAGGAGGAGGAGCTTGTAATGGATGCGGTATTGAACCAGTGGAGCTGCTGGAGGACAGGGGTGAATTATCATAACATAAATTTTCACGACTGCCTTATATGACGGCCTGGTTTAATGGCTCTTTGGTCCAGCCTTGTGTATGACCTGTGCTATACCAATAACCTTGGATCTGTGCGGCAGGACGGCCCTTCAGGTCATTCATAAAGCCTGCGAAGTGTCTCGTCGATGTAACTATTTCCCCGGAGGTGGCGCCCTCTGCTGGACGAGTTTCTACGACAGCAGCCTCAGCTCAGAGCAGAGCGGCGTCAACGAGTGGAACGCCATGACCGACCTGCAGAGCACACGACCGGACTCACCAGGGACCTTTGCTGACCGGTGAGACCAGAGAGAGACCAGAGAGACCAGGGAGAGAGAGACCATAGACCAGGGACCAGAGAGAGAGTAGAGAGGGAACAGAGAGAGACTAGAGACCAGGGAGAGACCAGGGAGAGACCGGAGAGAGACCGGAGAGAGACCGGAGAGAGACCGGAGAGAGACCGGAGAGAGACCGGAGAGAGACCGGAGAGAGAGACCAGAGAGAGCCCGGAGAGAGCCCGGAGAGAGCCCGGAGAGAGCCCGGAGAGAGCCCAGAGAGAGCCCAGAGAGAGCCCAGAGAGAGCCCAGAGAGAGCCCAGAGAGAGCCCAGAGACAGGAAAGAGACCAGGGAGGGACCAGAGAGAGACCAGAGAGAGACCTGAGAGGGACCAGAGAGGGACCAGTGGGAGGCCAGAGAGAGACTCGAGAAAGATCAAAAGAGCGGTCAGAGAGAGAGAGAGACCAGAGAGAAGTCAGAGCAAAACTTTACCATGAGCACTTCCTTGTTGGGCTTCACTGAGCTAGAGGGTTAGTATTATCTATCTGTATACAGTTTATGTACTACCTTTTTATTGGTGCCTGTTCATTTAAACTCAGCCTGAGGTTAAACTGTTGCTGTTCCTACGACAGACCGACAGAGAGAGAGCGGACGGAGAGTTCCATCAAAGCCAAACTCCGAAACATCATGATGTTTCAAGACCTGGAGAACATCACGTCAAAAGAGGTTTGAGACCCAGGACTGAGGCTGTAGACCCAGGACTGACGCTGTAGACCCAGGACTGGGACTGTAGACGCAGGACTGAGGCTGTAGACCCAGGACTGATGCTGTAGACCCAGGACTGACGCTGTAGACCCAGGACTGAGGCTGTAGACCCAGGACTGAGGCTGCAGACCCAGGACTGAGGCTGTAGACCCAGGACTGAGGCTGTAGACCCAGGACTGAGGCTGTAGACCCAGGACTGAGGCTGTAGACCCAGGACTGAGGCTGTAGACCCAGGACTGAGGCTGTAGACCCAGGACTGAGGCTGTAGACCCAGGACTGAGGCTGCAGACCCAGGACTGAGGCTGTAGACTGAGGCTCCTGTGTTGTTTCTGCAGATTAGAAACGTCCTGGAGCAGCACATGAGCTGTAACCTCAAAGACTACAAGGAGTTCATCGACAACGAGATGCTGCTGATCCTCGGGCAGATGGACAAAGCCACGCCCATCTTTGACCATGTGTATCTGGTAAAGCAACATGCACTATCAAGCACTGGAGAGAGAGAGAGACAGAGAGAGAGAGAGAGAGACAGAGAGCGAGAGACACACACACACATAGAGAGAGAGAGAGAGAAACAATCTGTCATTTCTATCTGTTTTTTTTTCAGGGATCTGAATGGAACGCTTCAAACCTGGAGGAGCTGAGGGACTGTGGGTGAGTCTGTCTCTCTCCCGCTCTCTCTCTCTCTCCCTCCCCCCTCTCTCTCTCCCTCTCTGCCCCTCTCTCTCTCCCTCTCCTTCTCTCCCTCTCTCCCTCTCACTCTCCCTCTCTGACTCCTTGTGGTCTTCTCAGAGTGGGTTACATACTGAACGTCACGAGGGAGATCGATAACTTCTTCCCGGGTCTTTTCTCGTATCACAACGTTCGAGTTTACGACGAGGAGGCAACGGACCTGCTCTCCCACTGGAATGACACCTACGACTTCATCTCCAAAGCCAAGTCAGTCTCTGCTTCAGTCTCTGCCTCAGTCTCTGCCTCAGTCTCTGCCTCAGTCTCTGCCTCAGTCTCTGCCTCAGTCTCTGCCTCAGTCTCTTCCTTCAGTCTCTGCTTCAGTCTCTGCCTCAGTCTCTTCCTTCAGTCTCTGCTTCAGTCTCTGCTTCAGTCTCTGCTTCAGTCTCTGCCTCAGTCTCTGCCTCAGTCTCTGCTTCAGTCTCTGCTTCAGTCTCTGCTTCAGTCTCTGCCTCAGTCTCTGCTTCAGTCTCTGCCTCAGTCTCTGCCTCAGTCTCTGCCTCAGTCTCTGCCTCAGTCTCTGCCTCAGTCTCTGCCTCAGTCTCTGCCTCAGTCTCTGCTTCAGTCTCTGTTTCAGTCTCTGCTTCAGTCTCTGCTTCAGTCTCTGTTTCAGTCTCTGCTTCAGTCTCTGCCTCAGTCTCTGCCTCAGTCTCTGCCTCAGTCTCTGCCTCAGTCTCTGCCTCAGTCTTTCCTTCAGTCTCTGCTTCAGTCTCTGCTTCAGTCTCTGCTTCAGTCTCTGCCTCAGTCTCTGCTTCAGTCTCTGCCTCAGTCTCTGCCTCAGTCTCTGCCTCAGTCTCTGCCTCAGTCTCTGCCTCAGTCTCTGCTTCAGTCTCTACTTCAGTCGTCTCTGCTTCAGTCTCTGCTTCAGTCTCTGCTTCAGTCTCTGCTTCAGTCTCTGCTTCAGTCTCTGCTTCAGTCTCTGCTTCAGTCTCTGCCTCAGTCTCTGCCTCAGTCTCTGCTTCAGTCTCTGCTTCAGTCTCTGCTTCAGTCTCTGCTTCAGTCTCTGCTTCAGTCTCTGCTTCAGTCTCTGCTCAGTCTCTGCCTCAGTCTCTGCCTCAGTCTCTGCCTCAGTCTCTGCTTCAGTCTCTGCTTCAGTCTCTGCTTCAGTCTCTGCTCAGTCTCTGCTTCAGTCTCTGCTTCAGTCTCTGCTCAGTCTCTGCTCAGTCTCTGCTCAGTCTCTGCCTCAGTCTCTGCCTCAGTCTCTGCTTCAGTGTCTGCTTCAGTCTCTCCTTCAGTCTCTGTTTCAGTCTCTGCTTCAGTCTCTGCTTCAGTCTCTGCCTCAGTCTCTGCCTCAGTCTCTGCTCAGTCTCTGCTTCAGTCTCTGCTTCAGTCTCTGCTTCAGTCTCTGCCTCAGTCTCTGCTTCAGTCTCTGCTCAGTCTCTGCTCAGTCTCTGCCTCAGTCTCTGCTTCAGTCTCTGCTTCAGTCTCTGCTTCAGTCTCTGCTTCAGTCTCTGCTTCAGTCTCTGCTTCAGTCTCTGCTTCAGTCTCTGCTTCAGTCTCTGCTCAGTCTCTGCCTCAGTCTCTGCTCAGTCTCTGCCTCAGTCTCTGCTTCAGTCTCTGCTTCAGTCTCTGCTCAGTCTCTGCTTCAGTCTCTGCCTCAGTCTCTGCTTCAGTCTCTGTCTCTTCAGTCTCTGCTTCAGTCTCTGCTTCAGTCTCTGCTCAGTCTCTGCTTCAGTCTCTGCTTCAGTCTCTGCCTCAGTCTCTGCTTCAGTCTCTCTGCTTCAGTCTCTGCTTCAGTCTCTCCTTCAGGTCTCTGCTTCAGTCTCTGCCTCAGTCTCTCCTCAGTCTCTGCTCAGTCTCTGCTGCTTCAGTCTCTGCCTCAGTCTCTGCCTCAGTCTCTGCTTCAGTCTCTGCTTCAGTCTCTGCCTCAGTCTCTGCTCAGTCTCTGCTCAGTCTCTGCTTCAGTCTCTGCTTCAGTCTCTGCCTCAGTCTCTGCTCAGTCAGTCTCTGCTTCAGTCTCTGCCTCAGTCTCTGCCTCAGTCTCTGCCTCAGTCTCTGCTTCAGTCTCTCTGCTCAGTCTCTGCTTCAGTCTCTGCTTCAGTCTCTGCTCAGTCTCTGCTTCAGTCTCTGCTTCAGTCTCTGCCTCAGTCTCTGCCTCAGTCTCTGCTTCAGTCTCTGCCTCAGTCTCTGCCTCAGTCTCTGCTTCAGTCTCTGCCTCAGTCTCTGCTTCAGTCTCTGCTTCAGTCTCTGCTTCAGTCTCTGTTTCAGTCTCTGCTTCAGTCTCTGCCTCAGTCTCTGCCTCAGTCTCTGCCTCAGTCTCTGCCTCAGTCTCTGCTTCAGTCTCTGCTTCAGTCTCTGCTTCAGTCTCTGCTTCAGTCTCTGTTTCAGTCTCTGCTTCAGTCTCTGCCTCAGTCTCTGCCTCAGTCTCTGCCTCAGTCTCTGCCTCAGTCTCTGCCTCAGTCTCTGCTTCAGTCTCTGCTTCAGTCTCTGCTTCAGTCTCTGCTTCAGTCTCTCCTCAGTCTCTGCTTCAGTCTCTGCTTCAGTCTCTGCTCAGTCTCTGCCTCAGTCTCTGCCTCAGTCTCTGCCTCAGTCTCTGCCTCAGTCTCTGCTTCAGTCTCTGCTTCAGTCTCTGCTTCAGTCTCTGCTTCAGTCTCTGCTTCAGTCTCTGCTTCAGTCTCTGCTTCAGTCTCTGCTTCAGTCTCTGCTTCAGTCTCTGCCTCAGTCTCTGCCTCAGTCTCTGCTTCAGTCTCTGCTTCAGTCTCTGCTTCAGTCTCTGCTTCAGTCTCTGCTTCAGTCTCTGCTTCAGTCTCTGCTTCAGTCTCTGCCTCAGTCTCTGCTCAGTCTCTGCCTCAGTCTCTGCTCAGTCTCTGCTTCAGTCTCTGCTCAGTCAGTCTCTGCTTCAGTCTCTCTGCTTCAGTCTCTGCTTCAGTCTCTGCTCAGTCTCTGCCTCAGTCTCTGTCAGTCTCTGCCTCAGTCTCTGCCTCAGTCTCTCTTTGCCAGTCTCTGCTCAGCTCTCAGTCTCTGCTTCAGTCTGCTTCAGTCTCTCTTCAGTCTCTGTTCAGTCTCTGCTTCAGTCTCTGCTTCAGTCTCTGCCTCAGTCTCTGCCTCAGTCTCTGCTCAGTCTCTGCTCAGTCTCTGCTTCAGTCTCTGCTTCAGTCTCTGCTTCAGTCTCTGCTCAGTCTCTGCTCAGTCTCTGCCTCAGTCTCTGCCTCAGTCTCTGCCTCAGTCTCTGCCTCAGTCTCTGCCTCAGTCTCTGCTTCAGTCTCTCAGCTTCAGTCTCTCAGCTCTGCTTCAGTCTCTGCTTCAGTCTCTGCTTCAGTCTCTGCTTCAGTCTCTGCTCAGTCTCTGCTCAGTCTCTGCTCAGTCTCTGCCTCAGTCTCTGCTCAGTCTCTGCTCAGTCTCTGCTTCAGTCTCTGCTTCAGTCTCTGCTTCAGTCTCTGCTCTCAGTCTCTGCTTCAGTCTCTGCTTCAGTCTCTGCTTCAGTCTGCTTCAGTCTCTGCTCAGTTCTCAGCCTCAGTCTCTGCTTCAGTCTCTGCTTCAGTCTCTGCCTCAGTCTCTGCTTCAGTCTCTCCTTCAGTCTCTGCTTCAGTCTCTGCTTCAGTCTCTGCTTCAGTCTCTGCCTCAGTCTCTGCTCAGTCTCTGCCTCAGTCTCTGCTGCTCAGTCTCTGCTCAGTCTCTGCCTCAGTCTCTGCTCAGTCTCTGCTCAGTCTCTGCTTCAGTCTCTGCCTCAGTCTCTGCTCAGTCTCTGCCTCAGTCTCTGCTTCCTCTCTCAGTCTCTCTCAGTCTCTGCTCAGTCTCTGCTCAGTCTCTGCTCAGTCTCTGCTCAGTCTCTGCTCAGCTCTCTCAGTCTCTGCCTCAGTCTCTGCTCAGTCTCTGCCTCAGTCTCTGCTTCAGTCTCTGCTTCAGTCTCTGCTTCAGTCTCTGCTTCAGTCTCTGCTTCAGTCTCTGCTTCAGTCTCTGCTTCAGTCTCTGCTCAGTCTCTGCCTCAGTCTCTGCCTCAGTCTCTGCTCAGTCTCTGCTCAGTCTCTGCTCAGTCTGCTTCAGTCTCTGCCTCAGTCTCTGCTTCAGTCTCTGCTTCAGTCTCTGCTTCAGTCTCTGTTTCAGTCTCTGCTTCAGTCTCTGCCTCAGTCTCTGCCTCAGTCTCTGCCTCAGTCTCTGCTTCAGTCTCTGCCTCAGTCTCTGCTTCAGTCTCTGCTTCAGTCTTTGCTTCAGTTTCTGCCTCAGTGTCTGCTTCAGTCTCTGCTTCAGTCTCTGCCTCAGTCTCTGCCTCAGTCTCTGCTTCAGTCTCTGCCTCAGTCTCTGCTTCAGTCTCTGCTTCAGTCTCTGCTTCAGTCTCTGCTTCAGTCTCTGCTCCAGTGTCTGCCTCAGTCTCTGCTCCAGTGTCTGCCTCAGTCTCTGCTTCAGTCTCTGCTTCAGTCTCTGCTTCAGTCTCTGCTTCAGTCTCTGCCTCAGTCTCTGCCTCAGTCTCTGCCTCAGTCTCTGCCTTAGTCTCTGCTTCAGTCTCTGCTTCAGTCTCTGCTGCTTTAGTCTCTGCCTCAGTCTCTGCTTCAGTCTCTGTCTCAGTCTCTGCTTCAGTCTCTGCCTCAGTCTCTTCCTCAGTCTCTGCCTCAGTCTCTACCTCAGTCTCTGCTTCAGTCTCTGCCTCAGTCTCTGCTTCAGTCTCTGCTTCAGTCTCTGCTTTAGTCTCTGCCTCAGTCTCTGCCTCAGTCTCTGCCTCAGTCTCTGCTTCAGTCTCTGCTTCAGTCTCTGCTTCAGTCTCTGCCTCAGTCTCTGCTTCAGTCTCTGCCTCCGTCTCTGCTTCAGTCTCTGCTTCAGTCTCTGCCTCAATATCTGCCTCAGTCTCTGCTTCAGTCTCTGCTTCAGTCTCTGCTTCAGTCTCTGCTTCAGTCTCTGATTCAGTCTCTGCTTCAGTCTCTGCCTCAGTCTCTGCCTCAGTCTCGGCCTCAGTCTCTGCTTCAGTCTCTGCTTCAGTCTCTGCCTCGGTCTCTGCTTCAGTCTCTGCCTCAGTCTCTGCTTCAGTCTCTGCTTCAGTCTTTGCTTCAGTTTCTGCCTCAGTGTCTGCTTCAGTCTCTGCTTCAGTCTCTGCCTCAGTCTCTGCCTCAGTCTCTGCTTCAGTCTCTGCCTCAGTCTCTGCTTCAGTCTCTGCCTCAGTCTCTGCCTCAGTCTCTTCCTCAGTATCCACTTCAGTCTCTGCCTCAGTCTCTGCTCCAGTCTCTGCCTCAGTCTCTGCTTCAGTCTCTGTTTCAGTCTCTGCTTCAGTTTCTGCTTCA